TTTGTGTGCTGCTTGCATCCTATGAATGGGACTTTGCTTGTTTGTGTGGACCGGTTGCTGGCATGTTGTGGCCCAGTACTGGTCCACGGACTGGAGGTTGGGGACATCTGTTATATATGTTGTGCATACGTAATAATACAAAGTCTTCCTTGTAGCTTACAGATTAAAGCAAGCCACAAGGGAAGAAACATTATAGAAAAACTGATACGCAAGCTCATTTATTGTCAAAGTGATAAGAGCAGTTTTTTTCAGGTATTTAAATGTACCATATTCATCACAGGATCGGGTCAGATAGCAAAAGGTAGTAAGTTTCAATGGTAGGAGCAGTAGAGAAGAATAGACTATTTGGTGACTTATGGTTAGATCATTCTCTGATTGCTTTGGTGCCACCCCAACCTTCAGGGAGACAGAGCTCAATAGATTAGCTTGCCCCAGTCAAACTGCATCACTGTCTGGTTTGGTGGCAGCAGTGCCTCAGATAGAAAGTCCATACAGAGATTGGTATGGACAGTCGAGAAGATCATAGGAAGCTCGCTTCCTGGTATTCAGGATGCTGCTTATAAGCACTATGTGCTTAGAGTTGAAAGGATTGTTAGAGACCCCACACACCCACTTTACGGTTTGTTTCTGTTGCTCCCCTCTGGGAGGAGGTTTTGAAGTATTTCTAGCAGGACTAACCAATTCTGTAATAGCTTTGTTCCCTATGCCATCCGTCTGGTACACTCGCAAGATTAGTTTTTCTCGCCATGCACATGTATACATAATCTGAACTAGACTGTTGTTTTTCTGTGTCATATAATGTATGTGGGTATATACATAATTCTGTATTTATTTATTTTTGTCATATTTATTTAGTGTATATTGGAGGTGGTGACCCTTTTAGAGATGTATGCAATGAAATTTCATTTTAATGTATGGCGATTAGTGTACATTCAAAGTGACAATAAAGTTGTTCTTCTTCTATTCTTCAACTTAAGAACTCTAGAGGGTTCAAGGGATAGCTTATTGTTTTGCCTGAAGATCTGATGTACGTTAGAGGTTCTTGTAAGGAGGAAATATCTTCCGAGTATCTTGGATTTGACATCTCTACAATAGTGTTTGGTACCCTACTTCCATGTTCTTTTGATGTCTTTTAAATCAATTGCTATGTGTCCCTTGGCATCGTTTGACATACCAATTCAAAGTTGGAATTTTCTTCTAAGTTCAGAGATTCTTCCTTGTTTTCCATGTCCGTTTCCATCTTCTGTGTCTTTACAGATGTTGTAATACTACTTATCTAGCATCTCTCTGAAACTTAAGTACCTTTCCGATATTTTTTTTTACTTTCTTGGTTTTGACTTCTCTTCTTGGGAATTTCCATGATTCTTTCTGACATCCAATTGCTTTCTTCTCATTCTTCATTTTTGGCACTCTCTTTACATTCTACTTAATACATTCTTCAAATTCATTCCATAATTCCTTTGATTCTCTATCAATGATCTTTAAGACTTCAAAGTGATTCCTGATGTTATCCTGGAAAATGATGGGGATTTCTTCAGTATCTTATTGTGGAAACTGACTGGCTTTCTTCTTCATTTTAACTTGGAACTTACACATGAACAGTTTGTGATCTGTTCCACAGTCAGCATCTGGCCATATCTTTGATGCTGTAGCTAACTCCTTTTTGCAATAATTTGATTTGATTTTTATGTACTTCCATCTGCTAATGCTCATGTGTAGAGGATCATTTTGGTTGTTTGAAGACGTGTTAGCTACAAAGAAACCAATGGAGCAACAGAAATTAGTTAAGTCGGTCTCCTGCTTCATTTCAGTTTCTCAAGCCAACTAATGTTCCAGTCTCCAGTCACAAGCAGCACATTTTATTTGCATCTTGCTTGCATAATCTGACAATTTCAGATTGAACTTGATCATGTAAACTTCTTCTGCATCAGTGGTTGGAATTTAAAGGATTGCCCATGAAGTCATAAATATCAATTAATTTGATCATTGATTGCATTGTAACAAAATTCTTACTCTACCCCAGGGTTCCTCAACCCCTGGTCTGTGGACCAGTACCGGGCTGGGTATGCCAGCAACCGGACCGCACAAACAAGCAAAGCCCCATCTGCGGGATGCAGGCAGCACACAAAACCATGCCCCACCGGTCCATGGAAAAACCTCTCCACGGAACCGGTCCCTGGTGCCCAAAAGGTTGGGAACCTCTGCTCTATCTCATCTAAGAGCAATGCTGTCTTTTACTTTTTATGTCCCGAGTGTGATCTTTTGACTGAAAGATCAACCTGATGCTTAAAATGTCCATTTTTCATTTTAATCTTTCATATGTTGAGTTTTCTGTGTTCATCTTAATTCCGACAGCAAGCTGCAATCATAGGATCACATTTTCCTGTGTACCATGCCAACTTCTCAGAAATAAAGTAAATGGGGAGTTCGGCAGGAAGTTGAAAGTTGCACCCCATTTTTTCTAAACTTTCACTTTCATTTTCAGTCTCATTTTCAGCTGAAAGAGCACGATACAATAAATTTTCTTCAGTAGTTACCCATGTTTTGTGATCTGGATGGAATTTGGGAAAGTTTTTGAGCAGTTCTGCACAATGTTGTATTTTTTCCTCTTTTGTTTTGTAATTTGTTATTGGTACTATAGCAACTATATCTGATAAAATGTTTTTCAGAAACTATATAAAATCTGATTTTTAAATTCAAATAGAAATTATCAGAACTTGGAGCAAAGGAGCTGAGAGAGCGTGAGGACTATCTAAAGCAGAAACGAGATGCATTGATGGCTTTGAAGAAGAAATCAAAAACGAATATCCCACCACAAAATATAGAACAGAAAGAAGAATTGTCCCCTTCTAAAGAGGTGAAGGATAACAGAATTAAAATTGCTTATTTGTAACCACCTGTTTTCTTTAAAGATCAGTCTACTTTGGAAAAACATGATTCTGAGAATGTACATCATAGTTTCAAGGAGACACTTTTAAGAAGACAAATAAGCTAATCTATTTAAAGGCCTTGTTTACTTAGTTGGAGGCAATGGAGGGCAGATAGTGAAACAGCTAAATCTCATCAGTGGGGATGATTGTGGTTAGAAAAAGTTAATTTAGTTCCTGAATAGCTCCTGGCAAAACTAATTCCATTCATTCAGCTGTGTTGTGCTTGACAGTGTTAACCCTTTCAAAAAGCTGCCCAAATACCATTAGTCGACTGACCCTAGAAAAAAATTGGGCTGCTTTACACTTTTCTTTTGTTCATTTTACATGACATCTGTGCTTTTGACTAAATAGGGATAGGCCTAAGGCTTCTTTGACTCTGCCCACAATGGCATAGAGCTATCTTATGCAAGTGTGATTTTTTTAATCTGTTAAAAGTAAGAAAAAAGTATCTGAAAGTGATACTCCTAGCATTGTTTAGGCCAGTTGAGGAAAGAAGACATTGACTATTTTTACTCTCCTATTGACAAAATCATTGGCAATGCATTACAGGTATATTTTCACAGCAGATAAATCAGAAAACACTATAATAAGAGTGCTTTAAAAATTAGGCATAAATACAAATAAGAACTGAAATCACAATCACATATATTCCTGTCCTGGATAGAGCTACAGTTTGGCCTTTCTAGTGTGCAAAGTAGCATTTTAACTATTGCTTTTCTTGCTTTAATATAACCTACAAAATGGTGATGATTTTTTGTTTTAGTGTACAAATAGAAACTAACATTAATTTACATGTTCTACAAATTGTTTTGCCTTTTGCCTACAATCCAATTTATCTTGAGTGGAAACTTCATTGAAATCAATAGGAATACTAAACATAAGTGTAGTTAGCCATAATTACTGTAAGTAATTTTTTTTTTCTTTTCAGGGAAAGAAAGAAGAAGAGGAGCAAAGATTGTTAAAGAAACGAATCCTTGCAGCAAAACTAAAAGAAGAAGTCATTAATAAGCGATAGTTTAAAGAAGTTGCTTCTAAGGTTATATATTTAACCATGAACTGTTTGCTTACAACCATTCCATGCATTAACTTGATTTTATATATTATAAAAACACCAATTCTTTTAAGTTGGTTCAAAAGTAGAGTGGAAAGCAATGATTTAACATTTTTAATAGATTCCACTATTTTGTTTCTTGCTATTTCTATATATGCTGGGTCAGGCTGGTCACTGTTGTACTTTTATTGGATTTAATATTACCTTTTGAATGTTGCTGTCAAATACTTTTATTAAAACATTAAATTGGCTAAACTTAATTTTTGTCTTAAGATGGCCTCATCAAACTGAACAAGAGATGTGAAAAATATATCCATGCATGGGCAACATCAGTTCACAAACTAATTGAAAACTGGGGAGATCTCACTCATGTATTCTACTATGTCTGTTACCATAAGCAGATGGAAAAGGTTTTAATATCTCATAGGATTTACTGCTATTCATAAAAATGGTACTCAAGGTATTTTAAAATTTCATAGGAATTATAATTGTTACTCAATTCCCATTGATTTAAGGTCAACTAATTTATTTATAGTCTGGATTTAAACTGTTGTCATTGTGTGAATCAGACCCAGTATGCGTTGTGCATTATGACAGCATGATTAATCAGGCTGTTAATATTTCCAAACCTTTTAAATGAGCCCACATTATTAATTTTTATGGATATATCATTCAACTTCATTGTAATCATAATTATGCCAAACAGTTTTCCAGTATTGCTTAATTTCATTATTTAGAGTAATTTAAAAATTCTACTTTGGTGGTAAGAAAACTTTTCATTCTTGTAACACAGTATAAACACAGGTCATCCACATTTCATATAACTTTTTATTAAAATAGTATTTAACTCAGACATGTTGGCAGATGTAATCTTTAAAAAAAAAACTCAATTGAAGGACCCCAGGCATTTGAAATGTGGGCTGTCTTGTGGCAAAAAGAAACCAGACTAAAAGTTAGAACTGAGGTTGGAAGTATGTACCTGAAGCAGACTGCGTAATTTAAACAGGAGATATTCAATGCATTTTTCACAGCATTGATCAATGTTCAGATATAGGATGAAAAGTCACCTATTGCTTATATTGAAGTAAAAAAAAATCAACTTTTTTCTCATATATTGAAGCAGCTTAAATGAATCTGCATATTTTGAAGTTTTTAATAGTCTTTGAAATAGGATGAAAGAAAATGATCCAGATGTGTATTGGATCTTTTTTCAGTGATTTATTAAATAGTTTGGGTCCAGGCTGGATAAACATCACTGTCAAGGAAATGGCATCCCTTTATTTTCCTATGGTTTGCTATTCAGTTTTATGGGAAAGAGTTACTTCTGTGAAGGATAAAGACTTGTCAAGAGTACTCAAAGAAGGGCAAGTCAATGTAGAAAATCTGCTGAAGCAAACTGTTTCTGTAACAAGTTCTTCAAAGTCTTCATTGAAAAAGAGAAAAGGAAAGCCCCATTGTTGATTGCCTGGAGCCCCTAAAGGGCAGAAATATGTCCTTCAGACCACATTGTCAGTCATCACAACACACTGAATCAAATCTAAGAGTATTACTTTTTCTGCTAGATTTGATTCAGATAAAATTGTACAAATACTATCATTAAAATAAACTAAAATGGCCACATCTCTAAATTTGAATTAATTTACCATTTACAACAATAAAACAATAAAAAAACCATTAATCATGGAATTACAGGGTCACATTTTAATTCCTGAATTTTACAGGTCAGCATTAGTATTACCACATGTATACAAATGGTGTAAAACAAGTACAGTGGTTTTTTTTTCTCAATACAAAATAAACTTCTGTTTCATGGAAAAACTATACTTCATATCTACAGACAGCCCATCTTTTCAAACAATAACTAAAATTAAAACTATGAAATTTCCAGGAGAAATGGACCCATACGTATTGTAAGAGTGACCAATAACGGAGGATTCCTGCTGGTTTCAATTTGTATCACTCTTACCACAATTTGTAATTTAAAGAATTTTGTGTGTGCATGATCTCAGATCATATATGGCCAAACTAACATTAAAATATTTACAATTCAGTTGCTCTGAAAGGAAAAAAGTTTCAAAATGGTTGCCTTCATCAATTCACCTAGTGTACTTTTAGACATTTGCTTAAATACATGGAATGTGTTAAGAAGCAGCTTTATGCTAAACCCCTTAGGTTTATAGTGCTGCATATTAACTCTGCCCCCAGATTACATGTATCATTGAAGTAAGATTCAAGAGTTTCTGGTAGCATTTCACAACATCTGCTTTTCCTAATGTGAAATGTGGATGGCTGAAGGAAAAAAAAAATTGGAAATTAGCAGGGAGCAATTCAATTCAACATTATTTCTGTAAAATGCTACTAGTAATTGCAATTCAATTGCCATTTCAAGTACCAAGGTTTATTGATAGTTTCTAGAGGGTTTTTTCTTCCTGGAAAGCTGATGATCTATATAATGATTTTCCTGGATAGCTCCTTCTAGTCTGCTTGCATTTAGAACCCAGGTTCTTTTTTTTCCTTCCAAAATAATGGAGTTGAGAAAAAAAGTTTGCCACTCAACATGCACTATGCAGCAGTATGCAACCCTCTATAACTTGGCTGACTGTGCAAACAGTGGTCCCCAATTCTGATTTTTTTTTTAATGGAAAGAAAATTCATTATTTAAAAGAGGCAATTGCTAAAAAAAAAAAAACCCCACAATGGACAGCCATTATGAAGTTATATTACTAGGTTTGCAACTGAAGCATTACAAATTTCTTCTAGCTTGCTACAAACTGGGGGAACCCTGCAATATCAAAATTTCTTCTCCCATCCCCATCCCCTCACAGAACCCAAGATGGCTATTTTTTCTGGCAAGCTTTCATTCCAGGTGCTGATTACTAATCCACTGTTTTAACATTTTAACAGTCTGAATGGCAGACTTCTTGATTAGAAAGGGATTAGGTTCTTTGGAAGCCTGGTGTTCTCAGAACATAACCTTTCTAGTAAATTTTCTTTTGCTACTCCTTGTATTCTCGTGTATTTTCCAGGGAGAACGCTTTCTGAGTCAGACTTTTAGTTCAGTCATAGCATTTAAGCACCCTCTATCAGAGTTTGTTTCAACATTTTTAAGAGCCAAGACGAGGTCTTTTTCTTGGGGATGTTTCTTCTTCTTCCTCTTCCTCTTCATCATCTGGATAATCCACAAGGCCAACTAAACTTCCCTGTTGGATGTAAAGAGTCACATGTGAACCTATAGAGAAGGACCTTACAAATAGCAATTGACATTTTCCATTTTATAAATTTTATTTTCCACAAAATAGCAATAGCAGTAGCATTTAGACTTATATACCACTTCACAGTGCTTTACAGCCCTCTCTAAGCAGTTTACAGAATCAGCATATTGCCCCCAACAATCTGGGTCCTCATTTTACTGACTTCACAAGGATGGATTCAACCATAAGTTGGTGAGACTCAAATGCAATACTGCATTCTAACCACTGCACTACCATGGCTCTATGCCAACTATCACTCAAATTGATTTTAGAAGAGCTTTCCCAAGAAGGGATCAGAGATTAGTAGCTATGATATTTAAATGACATTGCCGTGATAGAAAATACTAGGGGAAAATACTAAGAAGAGTTTTTAGATGGTCTTACGCAGCAGGGCAACATGTTCATATGCAATTCTGGTAACCATGTCTAAGGCTGTCTATATTCAAACTAGGCCAATTTAAACAATGTAAATGTTAACAATTGCACCTAAGAACATGAACTCTCCTGCATATACAAAATCTAGCATTAGAAATAATCCTAATGCTTATGAATATCAATATAGCAAAGTAGCCATTTCATGGTTTCAATGTAGTACATTTGAGTTTATTAAATATTTAACCTCCCAAAATAATACATTTTAAGTGACACAGATAATATTAACATTATCTATGAATTACATCTTAAATGTTTCAGCTTGCCTAAACAGTATGTATTTATTTAAACATTTATAAGGCTGCTTATCTCGCAAAAGTGATATTGGCAGTGTAGAAGGATTAAAAATAATTTTAACAAACCAAACATAATGCCTGTGGTTATAAGCACAACCCTACTTTAAAAAGATAACATTATTTAGCAGAGCTCACCTAACCATACTACCCAAATGCCTAGAGAAACATGCTGAGAAAACCATTTCAACTCATAAGCTTATAAATTCAGGACACAACAAAATGTCAAACCTAATCTGACTTTGCTGAAAACAGTATAGGCTGCAAGTCAATATCACATTTTAATAGAATACTTCTGACAAAGATATGCAGCTTCACTTCAAGGCACTCTGAGCAAATCCCCTTTCTGGATTCTTAAAAGTGTTACATATGCATGTTCATAGGAATTGTCCTTATCATATCACTAACATAATTTTAAACTGCAAAGCTCCATATCACATGCTTAACTCACCTTTGTGGCTGTGACTGCTGTAGTTAAACTGGCATTCTTAGAAGAAGAACCATTTGAACTTGCTGGCGATGTCTGAGCTGCAACAGATTTATTATTTGTACTATTTGCTCCATTAGTTGCACTGGTAGAATGGGAAAATGTAAATTTGAAGCCACCTGTAGAAGTCCTTTTGGGGAGATTTTCTTTGTCTTCACTTTCTTTTGCTAAAAGAAAAAATGTTTATTTAGACTAGTCATTGAGATAAATAGCCATACATTACCACTAGAAAGACAACTACTTTCATGTTTGTTGTCACTGAATGCCCAGCAAACTATGAACACCCAAAAGGTGTGGCAATTAGTTTGCACTGCAATGATTTTGCAAAGGGAACAAAGTTTGTGCTATATGAATGAACACACACATACATACATACATGTATACATACAAACTGATGGTTGTTGACAAATCACTTTCATAGCATAGTTTCACAGTAATTAAGACACCATATTAGGAAATTGGGTTGTATAAGTCAAATAAAATGCAATGGATCCTCAAACATCCAAGGTATAACGAGGGGGGACATGATAGCAGTGTTTCAATATCTCAGGGGCTGCCACAAAGAAGAGGGAGTCAAGCTATTTTCCAAAGTGCCTGAAGGCAGGACAAGAAGGAATGGGTGGAAACTAAGCAAGGAGAGAAGCAACCTAGAACTAAGGAGAAACTTCCTGACAGTTAGAACAATTAACCAGTGGAACCACCTGCTTCCAGAAGCAGTAAATGCTCCAACACTGGAAGTTTTTAAGAAGAAACTGGACAGCCATTTGTCCGAAATGGTATAGGGTTACCTGCCTGAGCAGGGGGTTGGACTTGATGACCTCCAAGATCCCTTCCAAATTTATTATTATTATTATTATTATTATTGATCATCGCACAGTCAGCCAGATATTCAGATTGGATTTGGCATTTTGTCTATATTATTATTATTATTATGGATCATCGCACAGTCAGCCAGATGTTCAGACTGGATTTGGCATTTTGTCTACTTACCGAGTCCTTACCCAGGACCTGGGATAGGCAGATGTGGATGTTTGATGGTATTACAGATATCGTCGCAGGATGGAAGCAGTTCCTAGTAAGGCCGCCTTTTGCAATTGACTAATAGCGAAATTGTCAATGCCAATGGTGTTCAAGTGGTGCTCCAGTTGTTTTGGGATTGCACCCAAGGAGCCTATCACTATTGGTACTACCCTTGCTTGCTTTTGCCACAGTCTTTCTATTTCTATTTGTAGGTCTTTGTATTTTGTTATCTTCTCCAGTTCTTTCTTTCTATTCTGCTGTCTCCAGGCACTGCCACGTCCACTATCCAGACTTTTTTGTCTTTCTTATCAACAAGTTGTTATGTTGCAGGTGCTCGTCTGTTTGAATTCTGAAGTCCCATAGCAGTTTAATTTTATCATTTTCTATGACTTTCTCTATTTTATGATCCCACCAGTTTTTGTTTACAGGCAAATGATATTTTTTGCAGATCTTCCAATGCACCATTGTTGCTACTTTGTCATGCCGCTGCTTGTAATCAGTCTGTGCAATCTTCTTGCAACAGTTACCAAGTGGTCCACTGTTTCTTCAGCTTCTTTGCATAGGCGGCACTTACTGTCTGTTGCTGTCTTCTCAATTTTGACTTTGTATGCATTTGTCCTTAAGGCTTGGTCTTGTGCAGCCAGAATTAGTCCCTCGGTCTCTTTCTTCAATTTTCCTGCTCTTAGCCATTGCCAGGTCTTGTTATTATCTGCTTTCCCAGCTATTTTTTTAATGTATTGGCCATGTAGTGCTTTGTCTTCCCATGCCTCTATTCTGTTCTTCATTTGGTCTTTCTTGTAGGCCAGTTTGGTCTCTCCAGTAGTCAGTAAGCCTTCCTGATATACTAATTTCAGTGCATCTTCATCATTGTTCTTCAGATATTCTTCCAAAGCCATTTTTTCTTCTTCAACCATCTGATGTACTTGTAGCATTTCACACCCACCTATTTGCCTTGGTAGATAAAGTCTGTCAATGTCACTGCGTGGATGAAGGGCATGATTCATTGTCATTATTTTTCTGGTCTACCTATCCATTGCTTTTAGTTCTGCTTGAGTCCAGTCCACTATTCCAGCTGTGTACCTAATACTGGGATTGCCCAGGTGTTGATTGCCTTTATGGTATTTCCTCCATTGAGTTTGGACTTTAAGATCTTCTTCACTCTCTTGATGTATTCACCTCTAATCTTTTTCTTGACTTCAGTGTGCTTGATGTTGTCAGCTTGAAGGATACCCAAGTATTTGTAGTAATCTTCCTCATCCAGACTCTTAATGTTATTTTCGTGGGGCATCTTGATTCCTTCAGTTTTCACTATTTTTCCTTGTTTGATAGTAAGTGTGGCATATTTGTCCAAGCCAAACTCCATTACAATATCTTGGCTATATATACGGACAGTGTTGAGCAGCGATTCTATTTCAGATGATGTTTTTCCATACAGCTTCATATCATCCATGTAAAGGAGGTGGGATAGTCTGCAGATGTTTTTGATGTTTGATAGCCATGTCCTGAGTTATTCAGTATTGTTGACAGAGGAAACAGTGCAATAACAAATAGTAATGGTGATAATGAATCTCCTTGAAATATTCCTCTCTTGGTATTAACCTCTCCCAGCCTCTCACCATTGATCTGCAACTGTGTCTTCCATTGTGCCATCGATCTTTGCACAAATTTTCTGATGTTTCTACTGACTCCTGTTATTTCTAGGTACTTGATTATCCAGTCATGTGGCAGAGAGTCAAATGCCTTTTTGTAGTCAATCCATGCCACATTCAGGTTGGTCTTCCTTTTTTTGCAGTTTTCCAAGATCATTTTGTCTATTAGGAGTTGATCTTTTGTTCCTCTGCTATTGGGGCGGTTTCCTTTCTGCTCAGGTGGAAAGAGATTGTTTTAAACTAGATGCTGTTGTACTGCATCAGCTACCACACCAGTTAGTAATTTGAAAGTTGTTGGTAAGCAGGTAATTGGCCTGTAGTTACCTGGTGTTGCCCCTTTGCTGGATTTTTCATTATTAGGTAGGTTTTCCCAGTTGTTAGCCACTTTTCAATTTCTCCTCCTTGTAGTATATTGTTGAACTGCTTGGCAATGAGTGGGTGTATAACAGTTAGATGTTTCAACCAAAACCCATGCAGTTCATCTTCACCTGGTGCTGACCAATTTTTGATTTTCTTTGCTCTTTTTTCTACCATTTTTGTTGTTATTACTAGTTCTTTCATTTCAACTTCTGTTTTATTTGCATCCACCTCTTTTAACCAAGCCGCATCCTTGTTGTATTTCTTTGGGTTATCCCATACCTGCTTCCAGAACTGCACTGTTTCTTCCTTGTCAGGTACTGACTGATTCCTTGCAGTTTCTCCATTGATGGATTGGTAGAAACGTTTCTGATTGGATTGAAATTGGAGGTTCTGCCTATAGTTTGCAATTCGAGCTTCATATCTACTGATTTTCCTGGCTATAGCTGTTATTTGTTGCTTTATTATTTCCAGTGCTTCCTTGATCTTCCTTGTTTCTAAGTGGTATTTCTTGATTAGGTATTCTTTGGTCTTCTTGTTCTTCAGCTTCTTTTCTTTCATCTGTTCTAGCTTGCTTGCATGTGATCTTAACTTGCTGATCTTATTTTCTAGTCTAACCTTCCATTTTTCTGGTGCACTGTTTGTTTGTTTTTCTTCTTTGTTGATTTTGAATCCCAGGTATTTAGTTATAACTGCAGCTGTGCTGTACATTAGTTGGTTTGTTTCTTGCAGTGAATTGGTGCTTATACTTGATATTGCAGTATTTGCATCTTTTAATGCTTGTGCTAGCTGTTTCTTTGGAACAAGCTTCAATGCAGACAGCCTTATTCTGTTGTTTTTGTGCTGTTCTAGATGCTCAGTTATTCTTTGTTTCAATTCTTTTATTTCTTTAGTTAGAAGATTTTGTTCTTCCTGAGGTATAAGTATCTGGTTTCCAAATGTGAACAGTTGTGTATCTCTGCTGGATTCCTTCACTGCCAACTCCCCCTGGTTTGCCTCTACATTCTGAATTACTTCTGGTAAGGCTTTGATTTCTTTGCCCTGAGTAAACCTTTGCAGTTTGTCCAATTCTGTTTCTGTGAATACTTTATTTCGTATTATAAATCAGCATTGATCTGCTAGTCTCTGTTCTGTTATTTCTGATTCTGGATGTTATTCTTTCCAGAACTGGTGCATTCGTTTTAGATATCCTCTTCTTGTTGGACTTGATCTGTAGTAACAGATCATTATTTCTTTGTTTTCAATCACTGTGTATCTGCGACGGGTAGACACCTTTTCTTCCAGTAGTTCTGCAGCTGCTGGCCCTGGTTGCTCAGCCAACAGCCCTGAGTCCTGTAACCCATTTATCCAGGAACTCCAATATCTAGCGCGGATCTTGTTAACCCGGGCGACATCCGAGCCGGTATGGCATTCTGAAATTTACGTCTCACCATATTTTTTATGGGAGAGACATTCTTTGTCTGACTCCTCTGATGAGACCTGTCCAGTATGGTTAAACCTCTGGCATAGCTCTCATCTTCCTCAGAGTACAGAAGCCCCACAACCACGTCAAGGTATTATTATTATTATTATTATTATTATTATTATTATTATTTATTCTAAGTGACGAAATGTACTGGAGAAATCTAATAGAATCAAATCTTGACCGAGATCTACTGATTATGGAAAGAAATGCATTATCTGGTCAAAGATACTTATCTTTTCATGAGAATAAATAAGGCAGATTAATCCAAAGACTTTCACAAGATAAATAATAGAAAATTTGAGTATGTCTTACTAGACATGGAACAGAAAATTGCACGAAGATACTGAAAACCCATGCAGTTTTGTCTGAATACAGATTCATCAATCCATTCATAATGCAATATATAAAGGAACATAAAGAACAAAGCCTTTCCATTACAAAACAAGTAACTTAAATGTGACAAAAGAGGAACCAACATTACAGAAAGCACAAGTTTAATTTTGCAAATGGGACAAAAATTAAACAGTTTCAGAATTCTTCAGAATTGAAACAATGGAAATGAGTGTTTTTGAGAGTGTATCACCCACTACTGCTAGCAAAGACTATGTTCTGTCAAGAGGACAGAAACTAATCTGGAGTCCTTCAATATTTCTGAAGTCCTTGGAATGCATTAAGTTAGTATTTTTTCATATTAATTCAGAGAAAGAATTGCCCAAGATGGATAAAGATAATAAAAAGGAAATGAAAGCAATACAACGAAGAAGAAAACTGACTATTACTTAATAGATAAGATAAACAGATGTATGCTAAATGGTCATCAAGTATTTGGTAAAAATGAAAAATAGTGATAAAGAGCCCTGGCTGAAATGGAAAGCTCCACCCCCGTCTTAGGTTGATTTTTAGGCATGTGCCTCACCCAAAACTAGGGCTTATTTTTGGGGAAGAGCTTATATTAGTCCCACCCCCAAAAATTAAGCTAGGGTTTATTTTGGGGGTAGGTCTTACTTTCGGGGAAACATGGTATTAATCAGTGGAATGACTTGCTTCCAGAAGTTGTGGTTGCTCTAATATTGCAAGTTTTAAAGAAGAGATTGGACAACCATGTGTCTGAAATATTATAGGGTTTCGTGATTGGGCAGGGAATTAGACTAGAAGACCTCCAAGGCCCCTCACAATGCTGTTATTCTGTTATTCAATGGTATAATAAATGACCAACCCAAATGGTTGAAAAATTGAGAAAATTTATTGAAACCTGTAAGCAGAATTGAAAGGAAGAAATGTATTATTGTTTTATAGAACTTATTTAATATTGTAGACATCTAGTGTGGATTGAATGCACAAAAAAGTATTTCATCATTAGTGGAGTCCTGAAAAACAGGCTTCATCTTCATTTTTTGGGATTCTGTCCCTAATATTTATTTTGGCATTAAAAAACCCTTATTATTAAAAGCAAGACTATCTATTTAGGGCCTGTCTTCTTATCTGAGCATAGACAAATACGTCAATATTTGATATATAAAGCACCAGCTCAGATGTACAGTTAGCCATATAATGAAATACGATTATTTTTCTTTAGCCAGTTGACTGGCTACCTTAAATGAATACTTTCATTCCTTAATTATTGCCTTAAGGAAGGTGGCTCAAAAGGATGATAGTCTTCTTTTGATTTGAATATCTGGCAAACTTGATAATTAGCAACAAAAGGGGATAATATTGGAATGGAGGTCCATTTTATCATATTTTTATTGTATTTCTTCCTTCCTGAAGGGATGGTTTTAGTTTCAACAGTTTCCCCAATTCTTCAACAGCTATATGAAGCCGCTTCACAGGATCAACATATTTACATCTTGATCCTGGGCCAAATACACAAAGCTGTCAAAGTGCTATCTTGGTACTTGGATGCTGTTTAGAATAGGGTTACACTCAATCTCAGAAATTTAATTTAATTTATTAGATTTGTGTGCCTCTGGATTTGAAGGATTACCATTTCTTTAGTTTTAGTTCTGAATGAGAACGTGGTCAGAATTTGATATCCAAGATATATATGTATTGTATCCTTTGCACCAACTATGAATTTTCCTTCAACAGAAGAATTACTGTCACTCATGTTCCTGTTATTTCTTGATGGATTACTGCAATACATTTCACATGAGACTGCCTTTGAAGATTATTTGAAAAGTAGTTCTAGTCCAGATTGCAGCAGCCTGAACTGATGCACATCAAGGAGTCCATATAACACCTCTGCTTTAAGAGTTGCACAAGTTACTTCTGACCTCAAATCAAATTGTTGAATGCCATCTTTAAAGCTTTTCATGAACCATATTCTCAAGCCTGAAATTCCTAAAGATCTCCTCCCAGTAATATTTACCCACTCAATAAGATCTAATAGAATGGGTTGTCTTCATGTCATCTACAGAGATTCTGTCCGAAAAGGCTTGGTAGCTTCATTGTTTTGTTCATTTTTTGTCTTTTCAAGTTAGCACTAACTCCTAGTTGCTGCAGTTTTCTTGGCAAGGTTTTCAGAAATGGTTTGATACTGCCTCCTTCCTAGAGCTGAGAGAGAGTGACTGGCCCAATAGCACCCAACTGGCCTTTTGCCTAAGGTGGAGCTAGAACTCATAATCTCTTGGTTTCTAGCTTAAGCTTAACCACTGCACTAAACTAGCTCTCAGCTCCATTTAGAAGATTTAAAACATTCTGATTCAAAACAACTTCTTTATATTCATATAAAAATTTTTACGATACCATACATTCTTCTTTACAGCAACATAGCTCAATTGAAGACTTCTTACAGAGAGATACATAGACAAACCTGAGACTGGAAATCCAGCTCCTAACTCAATACCCTTTTGCACAGACTCAGTAGCACTTTCTTCACATTGGCTGACTGAGTTACCACATGACTCTTCCTGCTCATGAATATTCCAACACATTCTATTGTAAGATACAGATGGTCCTTGACTTATGATTGTTTAACAGTTCAAAGTTACAATAGCATTAAAAAAGTATTTTTTTGACCTATATTTGCATTGATAACGGTTGCACCACCCCCACAGTCACAGGATCGCAATTCAAGTTCTTGACAATTGGCTTGAAAATATAACCGACTACAGCATCCTACATTCACGTAACCATAATTTGTGTTCCCCTTTTGCGATTTCAGGAAAGATTCCCATTGGGGAAGCTGGATTTCCTTAACGACAACCATAAAAATTGTCATAAAATTGCCTGACTCGAGTTATGACTGGATAATTTATGAGGGAAACTCTGTTCCCAATTGTGGTCATATATCAAGTCACACAGAAATAGCATGTGTTACAAAATAGAAAAAAATACCTTTTTTCGTTTCCATAAACTTCTCATAACTTTCTGGAAATTCATCCTCAGACTTGGATTTCTCTACAGGTGGTACAATTGCTTCACCTTCTTCCTCTTCATCTTCGTTGAACCACATTTCTTCATCTTCCTCCAAAGTTCTAGCATCTCTACGAAACCTATTGCTACGTAGTATAGACGGGACACTGTAAAACATACAAAAACAAACAACACAAAAAAACTTTTACAATTTGATAATGTGACTGCTAATAAGACTGATAAAGCCAAATTACATTTGGTTGTTATGGCATGGAAAGATTACTAGTAAATAGTTCTGAGAGTTTATATTTTTGTTGCTATTAATGTTGCTATTATTTTAGGCTTATCTTTTAAAACATTGAGGGCAATACATAGAGTTTCATGAGTTTCCTTCTAAACTAAAGGCCAGGTGAAAGCATAACACCCATTTTCTGTTCTAAACATAATCTGGATTTAATAAATCAAGCCCTTATATATTTTATCTTTATTATGGGAAGATTGCAAGATCTGTTAAATTCTCTTTCCACTATTTTTTTTAGTCATTCTCTTTCTAGAATGACAGACCCTCATTTATTTTGATTTATAAATAAACAAAATTATGCTCTTAAAATATTATCAAAATGTTTCCAGAAAATTTGCTTTAATATCTAAAATACTCAACTAAGTTCTAAAGATGATAATAATGTGGCTTATGATAGATTCTATGGTAATATAGAAAGTTACTTCCTTAATACAAATAAAAGAAAAATCAAATGCACACAAACGTGTATCTTCTGATGGATTGGCTCACCAAACAAACAGGGTAAGCAAATGTCCTCTTTAAGAACACTCTAATGCTTCAAGGAACAAAATTCATTGCTATTAGTTTTGCACTGACATGCTTGATGATGCAGTTAATATCTATTCCGTTTTCCATGACAAATCCCGGATTTGTCACTTGATTTATCACCCCATCTTCTACAATATCTTAGCAAGGCTATTTGTAAACTGTACTAAAGGCTTGGTTAGAGCCCCTAGAACAGCGGTTCTCAACCTGTGGGTCGGGACCCCATTTGGGGTCGAACGACCATTTCACGGGGGTCGCCAAACAATGCAGTCCACCATTTTTTTCTCCTTTTCCTTAGCTGTGCTACTCCCTTTTATTCTATTGGCTTTTGAAAGCCAATAGAATAGACTCTCTTGAATAGATTCTAATTCTATTGGCTTTCAAAAGCCAATAGGAATTGTCCAGGCTGTCTCTGCCTTCCTGAGCCCACCAAAAGTCCCATTCTGCAAATGGTGCTGCAAGTTGTCTGCAGGGAAGGCGAGCTGTCTGGAAGTTTCCACCCCTCCCTGCTGAGCAACTACTAAAAATGTAAGTAAAAGAGGGCCAGGGGTGGGAGGCCAGCAGGCGCAGGGAGGGTTGCTGGCACGCGTGGGGCCCGGCGGGTGCCTTACCACCCTTGGGCTGGGCCAGCTGGTGGCCCAGCCAGTGGTCGCCCTGCGCCGTCGCTGCCCCTTGCCAGCTACGCCTCGGCCAGCTCAGGGGGTGGCACCATGCATGTGCGGCGCTCCCGGGCAGGGAAAGTCCTCGACTTACGACCAGTTGGATAGTCCTCGACTTACGACCAGTTGGGTAGTCCTCGACTTACGACCGGTTGAGTAGTTCTCGGCTTACGACCGGTTGGGGTCACGGCATTAAAAAGGTTGAGAACCACTGCCCTAGAAGCTTTCACAAAGTTGTTTTCAAAATGCAATTCTTAATATGACTGGGGAAAATTAATATCTGGGGATCATTCAATAATTTAGCTGTTCATCTTTCAGGGCACTATTGAAAGTCATAAAACAGAACCCAACCAAGAATAAACCACCACCTCCTTCCTGATAGCATAAAAATCTGAATGTTTTTGGTTGCTTAGAAATTTTGAAATATATTTTTTAAATTAATTAAGAACAAAACTTTAGAGCTTTAGGATATCTCTAAAACAAAGACTGCAGACAGAAATGGATTATATAGAGAAAATCCTGAGACAAAAAAGTGCACCGCTAAATATAATACCTATAAGAAAGATGCATATCACCAACAATATTAATGGAACAAACAACAACGGCTCAGGAACCTGCAAGATAGACTATCTAGTACTGGGTTTTAGATTTTAGTTTTAAGGTGTGTACCTGTTCAGTTTCTGGCTCTGTCTGTCTTTCTCCTGCTCATATTTTGTCTTCAAGCCTTTGAATGTTTGAACATATTCAATAGATTCAAGTGCCTTATAAAAGTTTTCAACGATATGGGCAGTAAGTGATTTGATATCTTCCTGCATTAATACAAAATAAAAGTTTAGTGCTACTCAGCTAAAAAAGAAACATTAATATGAAGCTCTCATAGAAGTTACAGTAATTTATGACAGCAAAAGACTTGTTTTTTTTCAACCTCTCTCTTGAAGAACAGGACTACAAGGAATTCAAAGTGATTCACATTTCTCTTCTACATTAGTGAACTGAGACAATAGGTAATTTGAATATACAGAAAACTTTGTAGATAAGAATCCTGAGATCATTGGACAAATGTTTCTCCTACAATGGAAGAGAAGAGCCAACAACATGTCTTTAGGATAATTTTCCTCTACTACATCACATTAGTATTTGACCTGCTACACAGAAGAAGGAAGCAAAGCAAGTGGATTGCTGTACAAAAGTAAGGAAGATAAAAGAGAATCTAAAGATGTCTTTGATCTCATGAAAGCTGGTATCTCTATAGGAGTGCCCCCCCCCGTCTCTCCCTTAAAGGCAGAAAAAATTGTAAGTAGTCTTGTGGTATAAATGGACCTGCAAAATTTTGTCCTAGCATCAGTGTGAGTTTGGCTTTCTTGTGGATACTACAGATTCTGGGGAGATTCTGCTGGCTGTGGAATTCTGGGAGTTGAAGTCCTCATGCCTTAAAATTGTCAAGTTTGGGAAACACTGGTTTAGATCATTGAGTAACCACAATGGGAGTAGTCGTAGGTGTTTGCTTTATAGACTTTAAGGGGAAGCCCCTAAGAATGTTTTTCTCTAAATCAAGATGAAAGAGGAAGGCAAAAAGGATACTATATCAACCTATAAGACAGAGAGTCACGATAATTAGTGATTCATTACTGTAAGAGGATGAAGCAAACACATGCTGCTTGTGAGCCACATTATCTGTCAAGAGCACAGGACTCTTAATCTTTGATAGATTAATTCCAACATGGCTATATCCATTGACAATCATACTTCCATGCTTGTGGAGATAAATTACAATGCAAAGAATAGCTCAATTTGTATTACTAGAGACTTTGAAAAGTTGTAGAAGGAAATTCAAGGCGTTGGGCACTCAGGTGGCATTCTCGTCTTCCCTTCTAATCGTGGTAATGGACCAGAAAGGAAAAGAAAAATACTACAAATAAGACACACTTGGTTTCTGGGACCAACATCTAACATTATCTAGATGACTGGCTATTGATACCACATTAGCTGCACTTCAAAAGGACTGATAAAAATGTACTTGACCACAACAGGAACCCTTGATTGGGAATGCTTTAAACTGATAAGAAAATCCTGAAGAAAGGGTTTCAGAAAAAGGCATGGGCATATTTTGGGTCCCATCAGTTCAGAAAGATAGGGCTTTTCTACTAAGAAGCATTCTCCCTCCAGAGATAAGAATCATCTGACCCTGCTGGCCTTTGTAAAGCCCTAAAAACCTGGTTCTCTACAGGCACCAATTTCTTGGTTGTATTTGTGATTATGGGCTATATTTTCCTGGCTGCTATGTATTTTAATTTTTGCATTGTTGCAATTGTATTTATATCTTGTTCACTGCCCTCAGATTTGGGCATTTTATGGCCTGCAGGTCATGTATGGCTCTTTGGCTGTCCTTGTCCAACCAGTGGTGTCAGAAGCATGGGGTTGGCAGTGTGAGGTGGGGTATCAGAGTTGGGACAGGAGTGGGTGTTAAGGCATCAACAGGGGATGGCATGTTGGTGTGGGAGGGTGGGACAGTGGTAGTCCTCCACAACAGTCCCAGTTTCTCATGTGGCACCTTGGAATAATTAATTGCCCACTCCTGGCTCAGAGTAACTTGCTGAGAGGGGGAGCGATACAAATTGAATGAATTCCAAAACCAAACTGCAAATCCCTAAAAGAGGCACATTGATGGGAGACTTTAATTATTTGATATCTATTGGGTGACAAACTGTGCCAAGAATCGTCCTTCTAGGTAATTCCCAATTTCCCTTGCTGACAATTTTTCCTTTAGAAGGCACAGGTGACACAAGAGCTATTTTATAAATACCTTTAAGAGGTACAACAGTTTAGGTTAATCAATTTGGAAGACATTTAGGAAGTGGAATTACCTGGAACATTGAGAGAGCATGAATCATGTAATAATGTTTTGGAATTTTAGAGAAACTGTCTAGTTAAATTCCAAAGATGCTTTTTCATGAGGCAACTGGACTTTCCTATTGTTAAGTGAATTATTGCAGTTGTTAAGTTAGTTACACGGCTGTTAAGTGAATCTTGTCAGAAGGTCGCAAAAGGTAATCACATAATCCTGGGACACTGCAACATAAATGTCAGTCAGTTGCCAAGTATCTGAATTTTGATCACGTGACCATGGTGATGCTGCAATACTCATAAGAATGAAAAATGGTCATAAGTCCCTTTTTTCAGTGATATTGTAACTTTGAATGGTCACTAAATGAACTGCTGTAAATCGAGGATTATCTGACTTCAACATTAGTTGTTAATCAAACCTGAGTGGAGGATCAAATGGGATTCCATAAGGATTGGTCTTGGGTCTTCTGCTCTTCAGTATTTTTATTAATGATTTGATGAATAGGTGGAGAGGAGGGTCATTAAATTTGCAGATGATACAAAATTGACATAAAATTTAAAATAATTCTGACATGTTATAATAATGAATTGAAAGTAATGTGAAAAGGTACCAGAAACAATATTTTTCATTTAGGAAATGAAATCACAAGAAATGGGAGAGAATATCGGACTTCATATTTACTTGTAACTGATTGCCAGTTGAATATGAGCAAGCAGGATGATGTAATTTCCAAAACGATAAATGTAATTTTAAGCAGAATTGGTGCATGCGTAATTTCTAAATCACAAGAACAATCATTCTACTTTATTTTATTTTGCTTTGACTAGTTCCAACTCATGTATTACATTCAGTTCTGTGGACAAAATTTTAAGAATACAGAGAAATTGCAACAGATTCAGAGATTGCGACAAGGATAATAAGAGGGCCTGAAATGAAATCTCTGTGTTGAGAGATTGAAGAACAAGTGTGTGTTTAGGCTCGAGGAAAAATGACTGAATAGTCATAGAAAGGATATTAAACAGAAGGAAAAGATCTCTTTTTTCTCATTCCAGAGAGCACAAAGACAGATTCCAGTTGAATGTTAGAAACAACATCCTATCTGTATAAGCAATTCAACAATGGAATAAATTATATAGAGAGGTACAGCCACCTCATCGCTGGATGTGTTCAAAAGGAGGCTAAAAGGCATTTGTCTGAGATCCTGTAATTTGGATTCTGAGTCCTGAGCCCATCCCAGCTTTAGGATTTTGTTCTGTTCAGGTATTATTGAAACTGAATTAAAATACTGGCTTAAAACTGTGTGATTCTCTGGGCAACAATTCTGTTCAATGTCAGAGCTCTATTTCTATTATTTTCTTTAGCAACTATTGATATCAATGCTAGAATAAAATTAGTCATTAGGACCATTTTTAAGCAACAACACTCATTTGGGAAAATTTCTACAATCAACTTCAGCACTTACTGCAGAACAGGATTTATATATTTTTAATCTTACCATCTGACACCCTCCCCCCAAAAAAGCTCACCTGGCATCAAACCTCTCCAGTTTCCAGCACTATCTACTTTTAATTCTGTGTGTTCATTGTTTCTTTTAATTTGGATCTAGCAGATGTTTTTACTGAAAACTTTGGTACAAAAAGAATTTTCATAGTCTTACTGGGAGTACTCTGAAGATGATTCTAAACTCATAACTTGATGAATGCAGTACCTCTTTGTAATTTATTAAAGTACATACCATATATTCTGGCGTATAAGGCGACCTGGCGTATAAGACGACCCCCATCTTTGGCGCCGAGTCGCATGCCTAGAAAGTCGTCTTATACGCTGGAAACTATCGTTATTTCCGGCTTATAAGACGACTCAGCGTATAAGACGACCCCTGAATTCGGCGCCAATTTTAAAGCTTGCGAAAGTCATCTTATACGCCGGAAAGTACGGTAATCTTTTTTTCCAGGCTTCTATATCACTCTGAAGAAAGATGCTATCGCTTTACGCAATCTACTTTTTAAAGTTAGTGAATGCCATAGAAGTTGCTTTAATGAACAGCAGAGGGGTGTCCATAATAATATAGATACAGCTTAACTATTGGCTCTAGCAGAAAAAGATCAGGAAGTATAAGCAACGGACCAAGACTAAGGTCCTTTCATCTTGTGTTCATCTTACAATTAGCCTTATAGAAGAGGCCTTTTGATATTGCTGAGTTTTTTATTATTGTGGTTTTACAATTAAAATCTTGAGGTATTTCTATGCCTAAAACAATTATGTTTGAAAGTTGAAGTTGAAAAATACAGACAAAACTTACCACTCTGATGAATTCAAAAAGTTCAATGACTGCTGAATTCAAGAGATTATACCTAGTTCCATTATCCAGAAGAGCATTTATGACTGGTTCAAATAAGTTTCCTTTGGTAATATAACGGTTATAAAATTCATCTTTTAGGCCAATTATCCTCCTCATAAAACGAAGGGCACCTATAACATTAATATATTAAAAGCATTTTTTGTCTTTCCTATATCTTTTCTCACATTCTTTGCATTTTACAATAAATCTTAAACAGACATTCTACTTCAGAGTAGAGCAGCAAAAAAAATTGCATAAGAATTGTATTTAAAAAAGGAGTCTACAAATACAATAACCCCTTGGATCTAACCAAGAGAAGTTAACAATACCTCTGAAATGTGAAAGCATTTAAAAAGTACAAGCATAACCATTTAGTTAATGAAGAGCAAGAGGGTTGATCATGAAATGCTAAGTTTTGTATTTAGGGTACGTTTAAACTACAGTTTTGTTATCAAGCCCTGGGAATCTTTCTGGAGCCAGCAGTACAGAAACACTGAAGGCATAAACAAATAAATAATGAAAACCACTATCTGGATTTTTTAAAAAAATCCGTTTTGAAGTTTCACAGGGTTGCCTTCTCTGTTCCCTTTGTTCACTTCTTCTCATGGCCCATCTAGTGGGATTAGGAAAAATTTTGGGGAGGGTGTCAATGTTTAATTTTCATAAAAAGACATACAGGGATTTAGGTTTCTATTATTGTTTTTAATATATATGGAGAGAGGGGGGGGGATGGTTTCCATTTTTATATTAGAAAGGGGACATGGCATATTATATGATAAATTTTATGGTAAATATAATTTATGACTGATAATATGATGACACTTATTAAAATAAACGCAATTTATGGCTCACTTCAGCTGCATTATTTCTTCATATACATGGGACAGAAGGCACCCTGAAATTGTCCTGAACCAGCCACAAGAAGAGAAGAAAACTAATAAAAAATTTCAAGTTCTTCTGTCAATTTCACCAAGTATTACAACTTGGTTTGGATACAAGACTTACTCAGATGTGAAGCTAATTACTGATTATCTTTTTGAGTAAAGTTTTATTTACAGTGGACTAATGAGCCTAAAATACTTTCTGAAACACTTGCAGAAGGAACTAAGATAACACATCTTAAAATCTGAGCCAAACATAAACCACAAGCTAGAAGTATTCAGTTTATCCCCCATATCGTGTTCTGAAATTTTGATACACATGAGGACATGAATTTACCTTGGGAATGAAAAAATTTACAAAAGTGATCTGATATCTTAAAACATATTCAAGTTAGCGAATTATTTGGAATTTTATAGATTTTGAATTGCGGAATAAAGGAAAAATAAATGATATGCACCACCCCATCGATTCCATTATGCAGTGAGATATATTTAATTCTGTTTTATAAGTGTATGCTTTCTCTTTATTTTGCACTATGTTTGCTGATTCAATAGATCATGATAACGACAAGACTACAAACAGGCAACTATTCCACCTTAGTTTCTGAGTTTTACCAAGTCCTTGCTCAAACTTTAAAAAAAATTCTCAATAGTATTTCTCTATTCATCTGTTCAGGATAGCCGTGAATGAGTTCAACAATGCGCAGAGCCACCCAGAATCACTTGACAGTGAGACAAGTGGCATATAATTTAATAAATAAAAATAAAATGTATCTTTAAGAGAAAACTCTGCTGCTACTTACACAATGCCAAAAAGGTGTGTTTTGAATTCATCAAGACTAAAACTCTTCTTAACAAGTCCTTGTTCATAATATAGTTTTTGATGTGATAAGTGTGATGTTCCACACAAAAAGTAAGCAGCTCCAAAATTAAAGCAAGCAGCTGTGCTGTCTGATAGTTATCTGCAAAATAAACATAAATAAAACTAAGGCTCTATGAAGAATTACACAAATATTACTCCTGAATTATGACTTCTAATACAGGCAGGGTTTTTGTAATGCAAACAGAAAGCTAAATATGTCATTAATTAAAACAGGTTCTTAATGCACAAGCAGGGATTCTAAAAATATCTTTTCTTTAAAAGGTACATTTAAAAGGTAATTAAGAAGTTATAACCATAGATAATTGTTATTCCCTGTACCAATTAGATTCTAATAATTTTTAATGGAAAAATATGTATCTATGAATCTGTAACAGAGCATTTACTCCATCCTGACAAACTATACAGTTACTGTATTCTAGGGAAATTGTAACAGCAAAAATGATATAATAATAATAATAATAATAATAATAATAATAATAATAATAATAATAATAATAATAGGAAGGGATCTTGGAGGTCATCTAGTCCAACCCCCTGCTCAGGAAAGGAAACCCTATACAATTTCAGACAAGTGGTTGTCCAGTCTCTTCTTAAAAACTTCCACTGTTGGAGCATTCACAACTTCTGGAGGCAGGTTGTTATTTTTAAAATTATTCTTAAAATTTAAAACAGCAACAATGATTTTGCTTAAAGGTAGAACACAGTGGGCAATTTTTCCTACATGTGAGCTGAAAACATACTTAATATGAAAACTGCACTGTGAATTCCTTTTTTCTTTCCAAAAACAGGGGAAACTCAAGATATTAAATCTAAAATTTAGGACATAATCTTGCACATCATTTAATTATTTGAAGATTACATATATTATACACAATAATTTTTACCTACCTGGACAAATGGTATTATTCTTGTTTGCAACTACAGCATCTTTAAAAAAAAATAAAAAGAAATGTGTCAGTTTCCTGCTTAGTATCTATGGTATAGAAAAAGTATATTAGATAAGAAATATGATTCATTTCAGGGCTGGAATTTTTTTTCTTTTTTCTTAGATTTCCTTTATATGTAAGAAATAAATCTAATAAAAAAAGAGAAAGAAAAAAGAAAAATGATGCAAAGAAAAACAAAAGATAAAAAGCTAAATAATCTAAAGTAGATGTTTACTAGATGACTTTTTTCATCAGATATTAATAAACCCATTATCAATCTTTCTTCTTAACTATTCAAGAAATTTTCTCATCCCCTTGTTTAACTGTCATCTTTTTCAATCATTAAATCCACAAACCATCATTTTATGTTTTTTTCTTCTCTAAGCAAAAAGTATATATAAGGTTTCCAGTCTTTTAAAAAAGGACATTGATTTCTCCCTGACAAAACAGGTCAATTTTGCCATTTCCACCAGTTCTGACATTTTGACAATCCATTCCTTCACTGTGGGAATTCAGAACTCTTTTGTCTTTGGACTTGCAACCTTGTTCTTGCTAAGGCTAGAAATTTTTAATTTCCAAACAGACCAGAAGATGCTCATTTATCATCACAGAAGTTACAACATTACAGCCCACCCAACTTTATCTGAATTTCAATACATCTCACACAAAATAGCAAGGAGCTGGTCTCTAATCAGCATATATGCAATACAACTCAATAAAGATGTTACTGTAGGACAGGCATGTCAAACTGCCGGCCCATGGGCTGGATGCGTCAAGGCAAAACCGCGTCCACCCCATTGCCAGCAGTGGGGAAAAAGTTGTGATACATCATGCGACGTCACGAGTTTGACATGCCTGCTGTAGGAGGAGTAGTGGCAGAGCCTGGGGTTGGGGTCAAAAAGGGATGAACCTAGAAACATAGAATCCCTATGTAGCCACAAATGTACGAAGTCCAACCCACCATGAACTTCTAGCAAGTACTAATCATTAGTTGAGAATATTCTTGTGCATAGGCATGAGTGATAAATCTGTTTTATTAGAACTTCACATATGGTTCTGGTCTTTCACACCTGGCAGTTACTGAATTAAAAAAAAAAACCCTTTTATATGTTGTTGTTACTGTTAAAATTTATCATAGCTGCTACTCCCATAGACTTCTGGGCAGCTTAAAAATACAATTACAAAACTATAAAAAAAGTTAGAAATATGCAACCTTCCAGGCAGCCTGGACTAAAACAATCAAACTGTTAACAAATCAAACCAAATGAGGTCCCACACTAAGGTATTAACCCCATGCCTGAAAATAAAACCAGGTCTTAAGTGCTTTTCAGAACCTTAGGAGCGAGGCTACTGTCCATATTTATGAGGGGATGCCATTTCAGTTTGGCAGGGGCTTTATAGAGAAGGCAAGCTTCCTCAATACCACAAGATAGCATCATTTAAATCAGTGGTTCTCAACCTTTTTAATGCCGCGACCCCCAACCGGTCGTAAGTCGAGGACTACTCAACTGGTGCAGCACCGTTTGCAGAATGGGACTTTTGGCAGGCTCAGCAGGGCAGAGACAGCCTGACAATTCCTATTGGCTTTTGAAAGCCAATAGAATTAGACTCTATTCAAGAGAGTCTATTCTATTGGCTTTCAAAAGCCAATAGAATAAAAGGGAGGAGCACAGCTAAGGAAAAGGGGGAAAAAATGGCGGACTGCATTGTTTGGCAACCCCTGTGAAATGATCGTTCGACCCCAAATGGAGTCCCGACCCACAGGTTGAGAACCATTGATTTAAATAGAAGGGATCTGGAGCATACCCATTCTGCCACAACATACTAAGCGGGCAGAAACATAAATTATGACAATGCTTATGCCTGAGAGTCAGCACTTTCCCAATTCAACTGGGTACAAAAGAAACTGGCTAATGTCTTAATAATTAAAAGGGATATACAAATAACAAACCAATACAGTGACTTGCATAATTTTTCTGTGCTGGATTTACAAAAAAAGCTTGTTAAAGCTTTGAAGAATTAGAAATAAAAGGAAGGAATATAACGTTGGTTTATTTAATCAAGGTTAAAATAGATATGTTGTTATATTTGATATCCCTTAACAGATTTATGCTGACATCACAATGAAATGGTGATATTTTATGGGTTTATGGATAAGAGATGGGGGATGGGGAGAAGAGTTCACTTTATTTTAAGAGAAAGTGATAAGTTATTAAATTTGTTTATAGTTCTCATAAAGGGGAAGTCACTTCTCTCTATATTTTTTAAACTATATTTTTACCTTTTCTATCTTTTCCCTTTCTCTTTTTATTCTTTTATTTGTATTAGTTTGTATTAGTTGTATAGTTCTAAATTGTAATCTCTAATAACATTACTATAAAAAAAAGAAAAATAACTGCTTCTATCTTTCTTTATATGGACAATTGGAACAGGAAAAAAACAGCTCCCAGGGAAGAATCTTGATAGGCTGTATGTGAAGGTCTTAAAGCCTTCTGGCTGATGGATTGTAGGTTTCTTTCTGTCGTATTTGGTCTTGATACATGTTTCATCTAATACAAAGTTATATTATATGATTCTGTTACTAACTTTATTTAGCAAGCATAGATCCTGAGTAAGAATAACAAAGGAGAACATGAAATAATTTTACCTTTGTCAGTTTTATCTTCTGATGTATTTGCCAAAAGTGGAGCAGTGAGGACATGCATACAATGATTGTAGAAAAAATTTAGAAATTCACTTTTCTCAGTTTTCTGGAACATAAATATGAAATATATTAACAACACTATAAAAATATTTGAAGTTATGAAGCTCACAAATAGAATCGGTCATTTTACCCAATGCCTGCAATATCAATCTAAGTATCATTTTGGTGTTACCAGTTTCTGAGATGAGCTAATCCCATGGTGGTGAACCTATGGCACGGGTGCCACAGGTGGCATACGAAGCCATCCCTGTGGGCATGCTGGCCATCACCCCAGAGGGAGGTGGGACCAGGCTGCTCCGCCTCTCCACATACACCTGCGCTCTTGCTCTCTCTTGGCCGTGGGGGGTGCACGCGAAATCGCTCTAGAGGCATAGATCCGGGCGGCACAGGCCACGCCCATCCAGTGGGCTATGCCCACCCAGTGGGCCACGCCCACCCGGCAATACATAAGTGGGTTTTGGGTTGCAGTTTGGGAACTCAGTCTTTAAAAGGTTCGCCACCACTGAGCTAGTCCATTTTCTGCTCTAACACTTCAGTTACTCATTTTTATGCAAAAAGTATTAATTCTTCTGGTACATTTAAAAAAAAAAACATTTCAGGCTCTTACACTGTGGTTTTTGATAAATTTATTTATTTGACTTATTCTTTAACATTATTATCATCTACTTTAAAATGTCCTTCAAGCTATCTTGAAAATGTCATAATGCAAAGGATTAAAATAATAATAAGCAACAGACATAAAATGCTGCCTCTGCAAAGAGGCCGAAGAAACAGTGGACTACCAAGGAGGTCACATAGGCTGACTATAGACAATGTCATGATAATGTAGCAACAATGATGCATCGGAATATCTGCAAGAAGTACCATTTCCCTGTGATCAAGAACTGATGGGAGCACAAATAGACATAGTAATAGAAAACAAAGACATTAATGTGCTCCAGGAGTTTAGAATTCAAACAGACAACATCTGCCACATAACACCTCAGATTTACAAGAAAGACATGAAAGTCTGCATAGTGGACATGGCAGTATCTGGAGACAGCAGAATAGAAGAACTGGAGAAAATCACAAAAACAGGTAGTCCTCGACTTATAACTGATCATTTCATGAATGTTCAAATTTACAACGGCACTGAAAATAGTGACTTATGACCATTTTTAACGCTTATGGCCATTGCAGCATCTCCATGGTTGCATGATCAAAATTCAGATGCTTGGTAACTGACTCATACTTATGACAGTTGCAATGTCTCAGGGTCATGTGATCACCTTTTGTAACCTTCTGACAAAGTCAATGGGGAAGCCAGATTCACTTAACATCTGTATTACTAATTTAACAACTGCAGTGATTCACTTAACAACTGTGGCAAGAAAGGTTGTAAAATGAGGCAAAACTCACTTAACAAACATCTCATTTAGCAATAGTACTTTTGGGCTCAACTATGGTTGTTAAGTCAAGAACTACCTGTACAACGACCAGCAAATAGAAGTAAACTGACTGGCAAAAGAAAGCAAAGATAGGCACTGGGTGAAATCTGGAGCACCCCTTGGACAACATCAGCATTGATAAAATAAGTCATTGCAAAAAGCAACTTTACTTGGAACAGTTTACAAGCTGTGATGGTATCTTTAACATCACTGACCAACATCAGCCTATTCCAGGTCGCTGAAAAAGCCTCAAAAGGTAAATAAAATATTAAATCCAGTCTAAACTGGCTGACTATCCCAAAGGTTTTTTAGGAGGCAACAGAACTTTCTTGTTTGTCTTTGAAGACGTTTCGCGTCTCATCCAAGAAGCTTCTTCAGCTGTGACTGGATGGTGGGGAATGGAAGAATTTATATTCCTCGCAGACAGCTGGTCATTTGCATTCTTTTAGAAACTTTGGGACAACCATGACCTGGATGACTGAGATCTCCATAGACATCTGGCAGATTACATGACAAACCATAATAATGGCAGAAATTTACAAATTAAACTGCCAATATTACTGTAAAACCTATTTGCCCTGTATCCCACGTGCATAACTTTTGGAGATCCTTGTAATGTCATGTAGTAATTCAAATATTAGACTAGATCTGGAAATCCATCTTCAAATCCTTATTCGGCTATCGATCTCATTGGTACCTTTTAGCCAATTACATCTCACAGTTTAGCTTGCTCAAAGAACTACTTTGAGCAGTACATTGTTTAGCTAATTATGTTTCCTGTCCTCAGTAAATTGAGGCCTTTTACACTAAAATCCCAAACTATTTCTACTGTAATCGCTGCATATATTTTAAAATATTTACAGACCGGATCATGTAGCAATGTAATCTGTAGGCAATGACAAAATCTGTACCCCCAGATATAACTTTCTACTTTTTTGGCTTATGGACAGGAGACATTATTGTGGAAGAGTTGCATCACCCAAGCATAACATATAATCAAAGAAATAACTGATCTGTAAACATAAGAGTCAAACATCTGAAATCTCTGTATACTGATGATAATACAGATAGGCAGTATGCTATGTGAACAATTTTGTAAAATAAAGCTACAGAGGAAAAACATGTCAAAGAATATTTGCTCAAATTGTAAAATGTTCTAAACAATTTTTCAAAAGTTAACAAGTATGCTTAAAGTTTTTATTAAATGTATTTTTTAGACAGTAAAGTTTCTTTACCCCTTTCCATTTTCTTACATTAGCTGTGGCCAACATGTTCTCAGGATCAATTAGAGTACGCAAGAGGCCCATTAATTGAACAGCACCCCCAAGTTCAGGATCAGTGTCACAAATCATTTGCTCAATGACTACATTTATGAGGAGGATATCCTGTAACAAATCAAAAATAAGTTATGTCTTGCTTTAAAAAAATTAACAATATTAAAACTTCATAGCTCTCAAATATTTTGTACCCACATTCTGCCTAAAGATAACAATTGATATATATTTATTACAGAGGTGTTTTGGAAATTTTGTGTTAAAATAACCTTGTAGTGCAGGGGTCCCCAACCTTTCTGGGATGGTGGCCCAGGGTGGTGGTGGTGCCTTTACGCGTGCGAACACATGCATACGTGGACACAGTTGTGTGTGCACGAACAGGGTTGTGATTGTGTGTGCGACACAAACGGCCACGAGCTCCCGCTTGATGCTGGGGCAATGCTAGCGGCTGTGCAATGCCACGATGCTAGTGCTTGCAGTGACGACAGCGCCTGCATGACGCTGTGACGCTAGCACTGGTGGGGGGGTGCTCATAGTGATGCTAATGCCCGTCCAATGTTCACATCATTGCTAACCCCGACGCTAGCGTTGAGTGGGGGTTGTGAGCGTGCACATGAACATGCACTGGCCAGCTACTCACGCGGCCCAGTGGCCAACAGTCCATGGCCTGGTAGTGGGCCGCGGACCACAGGTTGGTGACCCCTGTTGTAGTGAAATAAACATTATACATTGATGAAGTTTACTCTTTTGAGCCTATTTGTTTCTCTAGATACCTACAGTCAACTTATGACTGTAATTGAGTCTACAATTATAGTTGTAAAGTGTGACGATCATTAAGTGTATTATTATGTGATTGTGACCAATCTTTTTTTGTGGTGATTATTGTGAACACAGCTGCTGTTAAGCAAACCCAGCATTTGCTGTGGGTCATTTTTTTTGCCAGAAACTGGAAATAAACACCAGTTTCCAGCAAAATGTTGTAAATTGTAGTCACATGACTGTGGGATCCTGCAAACAGCCCTAAATTAATGTTGATTATTGAGCACCCAAAATGTGGTCATATGACTATGGAAGTAGCATTTTCCATAACACAGGGTATTCGCAGAGAAGCCAGACTTGTGGCTCACACCCCTCATATTTTTTGTAGGGGTAGGATCCAGAGGATACCCTTTTTTCAGACTATACAGGATGAATAGAATCATGTTTGGTTTAGCTCGGTTCCATACAATTATAATTATAAATGTAATTGTAATTGGTGTAATTGGTAATAATCAACAATTGAATTGGCCAGGAAGCCAATTGGCAATCATTGCAGTGACCACTAAATAGTAGCATGTGCTGCATTTTGTACCAACTGACGATTCCACAGTCTTAAAATGAAGCTCTACATAGAGTGCATTGCAACAATCAAACTGCATAGTAATTGTCACTGTATTTTAGGATATATTACTGATGCACAAACTGAAAATGGGCAAAGAACCTCCAGGCCAAGGCATCCACTTAAAGCTCTAACAGGAGCTGTGGGTTCAGGCATGGACCTGATCCTCAGGGTGAGTTGACCGTGCAAAGAACCACTATCAGAATCAATATTCTTGGAAAGCCTGTTTATTGGCAAATGGGACCTCTATGTTTCTTCCCTTCTAGTCCCTCACTTTCCAGACTCTGCATGAAGACTTACACACCACCCCAGTTGGGATGATAATGACAGTATTGTAACGTAATATCAACATGAAATAGGGAAAAGCCTAGGACGGTGGTGGTGAACCTATGGCATGCGTGCCAGAGGTGGCACTTGGAGCCCTCTCTGTGGGCACACGTGCCATTGCCCCAGCCTTGCCTCCCCCTGTGACCCTCTCCTCATCAGCAGCCTCCCTGGAGGAAAGTTGCCCCCGAGCGTGGCCCACAGCCAAGGACATGGCAGCCAGGCAGCGTAGAAAAGACTCTGCCCTCACATCCCATTGCACACAGTTGATGTTGCAGGGCGCTGGCAGAGGCCGTGGCCATGGCGCTGCTGGGCTGCCTGGGCGATCTGTGGCCCTGCGGGCAGGCAGGGTAGGGTGGGGCAGGGCCAGTTTTTGGGTACTCAGTCTCTAAAAGGTTCGCCATCACTGGCCTAGGATTATTCAGAACAATGGTGGTGTAAGCGCCAGATTTCATTACATAGGAACAAAATTGTAGATAAGAAAAATATTAAACTATTAGAACAATCTCTGTTTAGATCTTGCTTCTTGAAATTTGCTGGGAATTTATATTATTAATCAAATTTATCTAAACAACATGTCATTTATTTAATTTATACAACTGCCCATCTCATGCTTGTGATTCTGGGTAGCACACACTGTTAAAAAACATACAATCAAACAATATAATTAAAACAAAACCATTAAAATACAGTTAAAACACTTAAAATTATAATAACAAAAACATGGCTGAATGCATTCTAAACTTACATACAACTATTTAATAGGATCCATATTTCCCTTTTATGCCTGCCTATTAATAAATCAAGGAGGTGAAATTAACTATTAAGCCCTCCAATCCATATTCTGCATCTGATTTCCAGAAGTAGAGTTTCCATAAAAAGAAAGAAAGTGACCGATAAACTTAAGGGGCAAAAGTGAAGAAGAACGGCTGCTATGGTAAGAGCAAGCAATTGGGTAGTGAGTGAACACCAACTTTACAATCAGGCAATACTGTTTGAGGCATTAATTAGCTAGTCAAGTGCAACTGTTAAGATCTTCTTTAACTGTATTGTTGAAACAACAAATGCATGTTTTTAGGGGTTGGAAGAACAAGATTAAACAGAAAATAATTGGTTTGAACAGAACAAGAACTTTGATTCTAGAAATGGCCACTACCTTTACTTATAAATGTAATATATATCTGTAAGAAAGCTGCATGGTTCTTACATCATCACTCTGTTGTGCTTCTTGCATTACAAATTCCCGAACCATAGATGGACTGAATTCTACCAGATAAGAAAATATGTCTGTAGCAGCAGATCTAACTTGTAAATCATCCATACCCTGAAATCAAAATTAGATCACTTAAGTTAAAATGAAGCATTTCTGATAGAGCATTAACTTTATAGAAAAAAATCAAGTGAAATAAAGACCTCAAATACTAGGGAGGAAAGGAACTAATTCAAGATGCTGTGAGGCAATCAGATTGGATCTAAAGACTGGGGGTCCTCCATCACTGCTATAAAACATATAAATATATATATGTCATCTTGAATCTAAAGTCTTCCATAAAACTAGTTACAACTTGCTCTACCCATCTGAAATTCCTTGTACAGCATAAAGTTGAGCTTGTTTTGCTATTCAATTTATAATTATTATTGAAAATATATTTATGGAATGAAGAAAATATTTATCATATGTAATTTATTATATATATGTAGAGAGCCATGGAGATGGCCCTGTAGGGAATATTGAGAAACTGTTAATAGAAACAAAGACTGTGGTTTTAACCACTCAGTGTGTCTGACACTTGGCGACTTTATAGGCAAGTGCTCTCCATGCTACTCTGTCAAGCACAACTTCTTTTAGTTGTTGGATGTTCATCTTTGTATCAGTGTTGATATTATGAAGCTGGTATGTTCTTCGCTCGCCTCTTCTTCTTGTTCCACTAATCATTCCTAGCATCACTGACTTCTCCAATGAATTTGCATGCATGACATGGCCAAGTAAATCAGGCGTAGTCTTGTGATTTTGGCTTCTAATGATATGTCTGGTTTTATACAATTTATCAACCATATGCTGGTCCCAAACCCAGATAAACGGGGAAGGTCAGGGAAAGCAATGGTGATCTACTCTGCAAAAAAATCTCACCTTATGGCAATAACTCAACATCACTCAGAAACAAGAGAAGAAGCATTCTTTTAGCCCTGGGAAATGAAATATTATTAGGAAGAGGTTCATGTTAACTACTTCCTGACTGTGGGATATCAGAAGGAGAAAAGGTAAAACAAAAGCAATTTCACAAGATTCTGTTACTATCAATAAAATACAATAAGATATAGTTTATACTACTTTCTGTGGAGTCAGTTTCTTGGTTTGATCTAACTTGTTAGGCTGACATTTCAAAATATTTAACATATCCCTCCAAATTTGATATGCATAGTCACACATACATTGCATGTCAGGTACATTTCAGTTATTACAGATGAGAGTCAAGATTTCAATATCAGCTGGATATTTAAATTAGTATGTAAATATTTATTTATCTATTTATTTATTACATAGCCATTCATCTTTTATTAAACTCTTCCAAACAACAAATGCCCAGAGTCGTTTGCTATAAGATGGATGGTAAATAAATTCAATAAATAAATAAATTAAATTAAAGCATCAATAAAAAGCATAATATATACATCTATTAAAACCATAAACTTTAAAAAGGGACCAAAATTAAGCTTCCAGCATCCTCATTAAATTTCTCATCCTTCTCATTCTATCCCAACATTTATGCAGAATATGCAGAGTATACAATATGCAAATATAAAGAGTACCGTATATTCCAGCGTATAAGGCGACCCGGCATATAAGACAACCCCCAACTTCGGTGCCGAGTTGCATGCCTAGAAAGTCATCTTATACGCCGGAAACTACTGTTATTTCCAGCGTATAAGACGACCCCCAACTTCGGCGCCTATTTTAATGCTTGTGAAAGTCGTCTTATACGCTGGAAAGTACGGTAAGTCTGAACTGTACCTATTTCAAATGATAAGTATGCACTAAAGAATGCTATCCTTATAAAAAACGTACAACATGCTTTGCCTCGAATTCAACTTACCATTACTATTTCAAGAGCAGGAAGAATTCCTAATTTTGCCAATGTTTTGAAAAAGGTGTCTCTGTTTTGAGGCTGTAATGTCTGAGAAAATGCACAGAACTCTTTGAAAAAATTAACCTGCACCAAGTGAAAGAAAAAAATTATAGAAGGAAAAAAGTTCATTGCTGAAGTTTAAATGAGCATAGAACCTGTACTGTATTGCACTATACTTAGCAAAAAAAAAAAAAAAACAACAACAACATATTTTTTTAAGGAAATATAGGTAGTAGAAGTACTAATTTAGTGAAGACGGCAATGTTACTGCCACTCCTTTCATTATTTCTTTCCCCAAAACACATCAGTATATTGTTTTAGACCAACTGGTTCTGAAACTATTGAATGAATACTTACCTTATTCAGTAAATGTTTCTTATGTTTTTAATGTGTTATGGATCATGGGGGCCTACTTATTCCAACACTTGAATTAAAAAATCCTGACAAAGCTACAGAACTACCTATTTGTTGACGTCACTGTTCTATAAATCAGCCAAAAAACAATCAAGCCAAACCAAAGTAGAACTCAAGTCCTGGGTACCATGTCATGACACAGGCATTCACACAGAGTCCCTCTCTGAGGGAGGTGGGCAATTTTAAAATAATATAAAAAAATTAAGCAGTCATAAATGTAATCTTTCCAGACACATGGAGGCGCTATGAACAATCACAAGAATGTGGACTCAAGGTACCGAATTTGAAATTATATTATGATGCTGTGGTTTTAACTTTGATTAGTGATTGGGTAAATTTAACAAATGTAGACATACTCCATCTGGAGGGTTGGGACTTACTTTTTAGATGGCATGCCTATTTAATTTTTAATAAAAAAGTGGATAGAGCTTTTAAATCACATATTATAAGGATTTCCTTACTTATGGTTTGGAGGAAGTATTACAAGAGTGATTTTAAAATACCCTTATGGGCCATACCTTGGCATGCGATAGAGGGGATAAGGAGAGGAGTTAAAATGGATAGGGTTTCTTATACACAATTACTTAGATGGGATGGTCAGAGTTGGCAGTTAAAATCTTTGGAAGATTTAACATATGAAAATATTACCTATTCATGGTTTCAATATAGACAAATAGTGGACAGATGGAAGACGGATTGTAATGTGGGCTGGCTTAGAGAAGATGAAAATCTTTTTAAACAAGTAAAGGACCAAAGACAAACTCACATTAAGAGGATTTATGGGGTCCTAGTGGAATTGGATTCAGAATCTGAATTAATTAAAGATTGTATGATTAAATGGGCACAAAATTTTGGTGAACCAATCCCACTGGATACCTGGGAAATTATTTGGGTGAGGAATGTTAAATTTACACAAGCCCAGAATTTAAAGGAGAATTTTTATAAGATGTTTTATAGATGACACCTTGATCCACAAAAAATGTCTATTATGTACCCTGATTTACAGCCTAAGTGTTGGAGATGTGGCTGTTTGGACGCCACTTATTATCATACTTGGTGGACGTGTAAAAACATAAAAGCTTTTTGGATCAAGATATGGTGGAATATTCAAAGAATTTTTAGAAGGAGGGTAAAATTCACTCCGCAGTTATTTTTGTTAGGTATTGTTATTGTGATGCTAAGGAGGTTATTTTAATGTTAAATTTGATCACAGCCGCAAGGCTGTTAGTAGGGCAATATTGGAAGAAGGAATCTTGGCCTACTTTGCAAGAGTGGTTTTTTAAAGTTTCTTATTTGGCAGAAATGGCAAAGATTTCGGCTTTTTTAAAGGAGCAATCGCAAGAGAAGTTTTTTGCTGTATGGGACAAATGGATAAGTTTTATACAATATAAATTGGATTTAAAAAAATATTATTTAGCTTTTTTGTAACTTGTACATAATTTTTGATATTTTATAGATTGTTTTCTCTTTTTTTCTTTCTTTCTTTCTTCTTTTTTCTTTTTCTTATTTTTTTTTCATTTTCTTTCTTTTCTTTTTTTTTCTTTTTCTTTTTAAATTTTTTTTTCTTAATGTTTACGTTATATATATCCTATTATTAATTATTTTATAAATTGTTAAAATTTGTTTAGTTTTCTTAACATTTTAATTAAGCCTATATTCAGTTCTGGGAAGCTCGGGGGGGGGATGGAGGGGGTGGTTTGGGAGGGGTTGGGTGAGGGTTGTTTTTTTTTTTGTGTTGTTATTTGTAAAAACCTTTAAAAATTTTTAATAAAAAAAAAAGAATTTCAGAATTAAATCTACAAATAAACTTACCAGTTCACGTCTTTTGTCATCATCAGTAGCTTCGTCAGTTAGCTGTGCAAAAACTTCAGACAAAAATTTTTCATCTTCCTGCAGAATATTGTAATGTATAGTTATAACACAAAGAATTTTAAGAATTAGACTTTAAAATAAGGGTTTTTTTCTCCAATTAGTTCACTTTGCCACTAAAGTTATACATTTTTATGTTTTATTTTGACTATTTCATATCACAGATTTTCAAATGTTTCTTTTCAGTCTCATTTGATGTAAAATAACACTGAATGTGATTAATATTGTAATTAACCATAAATAATTCTCCCAATCATGAACTATATTTAGCGTAAAATAATTTTAAATAGCCACAATCTACTCAAATTCATATCATTATCACCTATCTATTATTATCTTAATTAAATAACTAGAATGGCAAGAGAAAGCAGGGTTCTAAACTGACTGAAGAGCTTAAGGATTTAAAGTAACCTGCTTCAGACTTTGCATGGCATGTATAAAATGATGGAGCCAGGCAACAATGATATGATGAAGCGATTTTGGTTACAAGAAGACCCATTTTGATTTTTAAATAAACTTGAACTAAATGCCTAGTTTACTTCTCATCACTATTTTAAAGAGATAGGTAAGAATTGCTATTGTAACTTCCCTAACCCTAAAATTTTGTGATTCAGAAACTGAGGGAAGGGAAAAGATAGAAAGATTCCCAGTCCTCATACTGTTACTACTTTGTCTTTTCCTTCTAAAGTAGCTCCTCTAACAACTTTCATTTGTTCCCAAATTCAAATTGGAATCCAGGAAAACTGAGAGGGTTGGAAGCCAAAGGAGCCCAACTGAACCATAAATCCAGTTTTTCTTCAAAGCTGTTCTTTTCTTGTACTGATCTATAGCTTCCACACATCACCCAGCAAACTAGTAGAAAATTACAGGAATTATTGGAAATGCCATGGGTTGGGTGAAATGGCTCAATGAACAAATTATATAATTTAAGGATATTTTGAATATTCAGTTCAGATTTATATAATCTTTGGTTAAGATACCTTAAAATGAGAACACTTAAGCAATAAAAATGATGCAGCAAGGCTCTTAACTAATAGAGCCAATAGCTTTACTGTAAAGAATTTAAGAGCACTCAAAGGTGGTACAAATGCACTGTCATCTGGGAACTGAACAAAATAATCCAGAAAAAAAAAACTTGGACATGAATACAGCAGTTTAGTTTCCTAAGACCTGTAATTTTAAAGGCAAATGCACATTCAACAGTTATTTTGCTAATCTTAAGTATACTCACAATTGATTTACCCTATCTCAAAGGTATAGAATATCTAGAAATAATAGTAATTTATATTAAATATCTTGATAGTTCTAGTAGTAAATTTAACGTGTACTGGGAGTCTCTCTCTCTCTCTCTCTCTCTCTCTCTCTCTGTGTGTGTGTGTGTGTGTGTGTGTTGGGAGTTCCCAACGAAAGCTTGGCAGCTTTTAGTACAGTATTTTTCTTACTTAAACTCTCCTGGTGATTGCATATTATATATATATATATATATATATATATATATATATATATATATATATACACACATACATACATACACACCAGTGGTTCTCAACCTGTGGGTCGGGACCCCATTTGGGGTTGAACGACCATTTCACGGGGGTCGCCAAACAACGCAGTCCGCCATTTTTCCCCCTTTTCCTTAGCTGTGCTACTCCCTTTTATTCTAATTCTATTGGCTTTCAAAAGCCAATAGGAATTGTCCAGGCTGTCTCTGCCCTGCTGAGCCCGCCAGAAGTCCCATTCTGCAAACGGTGCTGCACCAGTTGAGTAGTCCTCGACTTACGACCGGTTGAGTAGTCCTCGACTTACGACCAGTTGGGGGTCGCAGCATTAAAAAGGTTGAGAACCACTGATACACACACACACACATATATACACACACACCAAGATTTCGAGAAATAAGTATTATACACAGTTCAAATAGTCACAAACTGTTCTTAAATGAAGGCAATGATTACCTTTAATTAGCATATTTTAATTAGGTAAATATAAAAAAAGGAATTAACTTCATTTTTTCCTAGCATATCAAACCTGCCCTTCTTCACATTTATGGTAGCTATACTACTACTGTAAGCACAAAATTAATATAATCTTGCCAAACAGATACAGATAAAATATACAGTACTTTGGAACTGGGGAAAATAGTAGCATTATTTCCTTCTTCCCACTATACCATTTCCCAAATATCCCTCTTTCTCATCCTTCCTGCTTCAGCAATAAGTTTGCAAATTACTTACTGTCTGTTGATCCGAGATATGTGTCATGCAAAACAGTCATGACTACTGCAGTTAGTAGGCTGCATTTCTAAATATTCCCTTCCCAATTGTTAACATGTGTCAGAAATCTCATACTAATGACACATCCTTCTATCAAACTATCTAGCCTAGAAGTTCTAACTAGCTGTCACAAAGGATAATTATTGTGGCTCCCCCACATTTTGAAGAACACTGCACAATTCAAACTGATATTTTTAGAAAAGGAATTCTGAAGGTACAGTCTGTTCTCCTTATTGCTTCTTGGCTACACAATTAATAATATAATTAACAGTGGTTTGTGTATGAAGTTGTTAAGCATGTGTCATAGTTTCTATAGATCAGTTAATGCAGTACCATAAAAAGACAAAATGTACCGTCTACAATTTTACCATATCACATCACATTAAGATTATTTCTATTTTAGTTACAGATCACGATTCTAAATATATTGCCATGTTGCCTAGCTATTAAGAAGCAAAACATAACCTTAAAATATGTTGGTTATTTAGTTTTTACTTATAAAAATGTATTTCTTATTAATAAAAAAAGTTTTAGATGTGTTAGAAAGTGAAAAAAACTGCTGTATATCCTCCACCAGGCCATCAATGTTTTACTGTAATCACAGCAAAATGAGCTTTAATTTCATCATTTTGGCACAAAAGGAAAATATTGTAACTTAATAAGGAAGAGACCGGTAGGAGTTAAACCTCCTTAGTTGTTAAATTCAAAATGGAACTGCATCTTGAAAACTGCTTTCACTTTATTGTTGCCCAGAATTTGGTTTGGATCTGGATTACCACAATTGATTTCTAGGCATCTGAATTAAAACACCTTTAAGAATCCTCCTGCTTCTCAATGATTTATATACAACATAAGGGCCAGTGAACTATAGATTTATCTACAAATTGCAGAATGCTTTGGGTTTTTTTGTTTAATCTTAAAATAAAACTAGTTAGATATTATTTCAGTACTGGCTCCTATAAGTAAGCAAACTTTTGCAAAAGTAATCTATGATTAATTATCCTGACATCACTTAACTTTGATTTTGTTTTTCTTTTTTCCCTTTTATAACCTCTAAAATTCTGAACAGCTTTAGGGTAATATCTAAAAATGTGTCAGTGCTGAGGAATCAGTATATCCTAGCACATGGCCAACTAATTCTGAGAGTACAGTGAATTTCAACACCAGATTAATGGGTATGGGGGCCTGAAGCTTTGGATTTCTTTCTGAAGTAGTTCTTAGATTTTAACTATTAAAAGGAAGAAAGGTCCTAGCTATACATAGTGTATATAGTTTATTGCCACTCCAGTATTGTTCATACTCCCAGTTAACAGATTCATCCACCTTTTTTTTTCCTTTCTGAAACAGCCTTGTAGAGCAGGCAGTAACAAAACTCAAAATGCACAATTTCATATTGTTGCAGTAGTAGTAACATAGCCAGAAATAAAAGAGATTGTTTCCACAACATGACAAGTATAATTTATCTTATATGGGTCATCCTCTTTGAAAATGTGAGGGTGTAAAAAGGAAAGAACATTAAGTAAGGCAGTACTGTAACACTAAAAGATTGTCTACCCTATATCATCTACAATACATTTATCTCATATTCAGAAGTTTATCACAATTGCTGCTGCAACATTATTAAAACCAAATCTTAGAAGTCAAGAACTAAACACAATATTAAATCTCTGCAAATCTAAAACTTCATTAAAACATTACTTAAGAGCAGTAACCCTGAAAATGCTAATTCAGCTCAAATGGCATTGTGATACTTCAACAGAATGTTTTAACAAAACAAAAATAACTATTACATAGGTAAAACAGCTACTAAGGACCAAATTGCAAACTAAATGACACAATAACATCAATAGCTCGTTGAAGAGAATCCTGACAAAACATTGTCACTACAGCTTGATATAGAAAGACCAAATTATCTGAAAATCAAGCAAGCTAAATATTTTTAAAGTTATGCTTTATCATGTTCAGAATTCAGGTAATAGTACATGCTAAAATGTTGTAGTCCAATTTATTTTGGTGAGACCTTCTACTAAATTAATTACAATTTATCTGCTGAACACTGAACAATCATATATTTAAAATGAGCTAACCCAAGAATTATAGTAGAATGATGAATGAGTTTTTAAAAAGCAGCATCACCAGATTTATTCTGAAGTACCACAGTCATTTGTTGATACAGAAGGAATAATGACTACAAAATACTTTCCTGTGACTTTAATTCTTCATGTCACAATGTTTAACAATCACCCCAATCTGAAATCTCAAGTTGCACTTTGTCCCTTGAATCCTTCAATAAATCCCCAGAGTTGTAAAATTGTCATTCTGGTATAACTAATGTGAAAATATTAAATCTATTTTGAATAATTACAATAACAGCATTTAACTAATTTCACAACACTGAAATGATTTTTATTTTTCTTCTAGTCTTTATACCCTTTTGGAGTGAGGCATGATGAACCTCATTCAAAGGCCAAATGCAGAACTTAATTCTCTAAAACAGTGTTTCTCAACCTTGACAATTTTAAGGCATGTGGACTTCAACTCCCAGAATTCCACAGCCAGCATTGCTGGCTGTGGAATTCTGGGAGTTGCAGTCCACATGCCTTAAAATTGTCAAGGTTGAGAAACACTGCTCTAAAAGTTCTTTGAAAGCTCTAATTATGTAACATAGGCTTTGCATACAAAATATCCATATTCAATTCCTAGGCAATTTTACAAAATCTTCTATCTGAAACTCAAGAATTATTATCCATTAACTCAGACGATACTGAACTAATTAAACCAGTGATTTCACTTGATACAAAGCAAGTTTCTTTATTCCTATTTAAATCTTCACCAATTTTAGATTCAACTTAGCTTCTTCCTTCAGTCACTCACTATGACATGTTGAACATGCAAACATGCACAAAGGAAAAAAACCTGAGAAAAAGTAAAAGCATATAATGGAATATTATAATCAGACTGAGGATACTTACAATAAAAACTCAGTTCAACGTCTTATTTCCTCAGCTCTTTTCCAACTGGTTTTTATAAGAGCTACTGTTTATTTTAAAATGTCAGAAGTTTATTTTTCCCCCTCTTCCCACCTCTCTCCATTTTTCATTTTATGTTGTCTTTTTCTGACTGTAAGCCTATGGACAAGGATCAACTTGTATTTACTATATCAGGCTAGCAGTTCTAAGAGTCTTTTTGTGAACACTATGGTAAAAATACTTTAAATAAATAAATATCAGGTGAACAATTCCAGAAAACTCTTAACAATGTGCTAGATCATACAATTGTTTAATCAATCAATCAATCAATCACAACACATATCTGAGCAGTCTTAAGAAGATTCAGTCCACTTCTGCCTTTTCAGTGCTGGATTTCATTGGACCCAAAATATTTCACACTGAATTGAATTTAAGCTATTGTTTAAGGAAATGGGAGTGCAAATTCTACCCAGCTATCCTTGACAAATTTTACGCAGAGTTTAACTGAGTTTACAGTCAATAGCTATGGTAGTAGCTAAACTTTGACATTGCTACCATCACAACACATTAAAATTATATCAATATAAGCATAATTCAGCATTATTTGATGACTGCAATTCATCCAGATCTGTACCTGTGATGCCATTTAGGAGGCGAACAGGGACAATAAAATACATACAGAGGACAAAATGTTGTCATCCTAGACTGCTTCATCAGGTTCATCAAAATAAGAAACAACAACTAGCAAATATGTAAGGTCTATATGTGTTACTACCACCATAACTGAAGTGGGTTTTTTTTTCCAGATATATTCACTGTCAACAATACAACAGAAGTAAATGGGAAGCTCAACAAGAGCTTAGATGTATTTTTGCATACCTAAGATGCTGTATTTTAAATAAATTATGCCAATTATAGACTGATAGAAATAAGATGTTTATACTATCAGGAAAAGATGGACAGATCAGTGGTATGTATATTCTCTATATGCAGAGAGACACCAAGCCCAACCTGTATATCACCAATGAAGAAAGCATTTTAGTGTAGGAGTGTAGGAGATCACTAAAATTCTTTGAAGTTGTTGCCAATTAGGCTATGTAAGATTGGGCTATATGGACAAAGTAATTTGCCAAAAGGAAGCTTTCTATATTCCTTACCTCCCTTGCCTGGTTTTATCTCAGTTCTGTATTTTTTATAACTTCAATATCAATATTTATAAGTATAATTTGTTATGAACAAGGCAACAGCCAGGGAATATTATATTTATTTTCCTTTTATTTCAAAAGGATTTTTAATGGTTACAGTATACCAGTAGAAATTATTGTATGTTTTAATATTTTTTATTTATCTTCAGAACCTTATGACTGGTGCATGACTGATTTTCAAAGAAATAAATTTTAACAAAATTTAAAAATTGCACCTTTTCCATACAGCCTATAGAAAATGGTCACTGCTCACATATTGCTGTTTATAGATAGCAGGGGAAAAATATTATATTATGTTACTTTCAGTACCATGTTTAACATAACTGCTTAAAAGTTAAGCCTCAGTGCTAACGAATATAAAAGAACAGTCAGAAAACCATGTACTTCTCATAGCACTTATAAGAACTTATGTGCAGTCTATTTTGTTTGAGAGAAATCTACTGTGTTCATGAAAAGCCTATGAAATATACATCAATGAGTACACAAACAATACAGCTAAATTATTATGCTCTGTGAGTAGTGAAAAATAATTTATAAGAACTAGTAAATGAGCATATGCAAATAACAGCAGCATATTAAAAGGCTTGATGGTTAGCATCATAATTATATTTAGAATTTTCAAAATGCAACTCTTTTAGACTTTTGAATTCACTTACCTGCAGCATACTGACAATCTCGACTTTGTTAAAGAAAATAAATGAAGTAAGGGTAGAAAGAAAATTCTCTTCAAAAACAGATGGTGTTGGCAAGATGATGTCCTGAATGTATTGTACCCTATAAGTCTGATGAATCTTTTGTCTAAGTTCAGAGTCTGTTATGGGTATAACTTCTTTAAACTTTGCTGTTTTGGTCAAAAATTCCCTATGCCTTTTTGGTTGAGCTAATGCAGGATCATATTCAAGGCATCCCACAACATCCATAATGCATTCATCTGAGAACATCACCTCAAAAAGAGTTGCTTTATTGAGAAACAAAATTCCTCGAATAATTTCATACAAATGATGCAAGCCTTCAGTATTTTCTAGATTCTCACAAAGCTGGAAAAGCTGTAATAATTTTTTAATATAGCCTTCATTCTCCAGTGCTAAGGCTAATTTTTCTCTACGAATGGGTGATGAGAGAACTGAGGTAACTAGGTCTGCTATTTCTTCGAGTTTGTTGAGTTCACAAGTAGGGAGATCAATCAAATGACTAGTTTCGGGCATTTCCTCAAAGCGTTCTTCTTCTGATTCATCAATGAGATCCTGTGTAACTTCTACAGAAGGGTCTTTCCCTTGAACCTAAAATCAAAAACATTAATAATTATTGACTTATTCTGACATACATTAGAGTCTTTGAAAGGCAAGGAAAAGGAATTACGAAAATCAATGTTATTACCAATATCTAAATCATAGTTAATATAGTTCTGACATTCTATGAAATGTCAGTGAAATGGGATTGGTGGGCTGCACACCAAATTTAGGTTGCTCTATCATGCCAGCTGATGAAAAAGGAGGGAGGGAGAGAGGAGGGAAGGATATTCTTGGTATACTGTAAGTTAATGGTAATATTTGTAATATAATGTTATACAGCAGAATCACAGTCACTGCAAACCTCAAAATAATTTCATTGTAGAAGTATAAATGTAAAGCTGTCCTGAAATGGTATTTTAAATAATGCCACTGAAATATCACATCATCAGCTAAACTAGAAAATAAATTTTATAATTCATACTATCAAAATTAAATGGGCCACTAGAACTTTACTTCAATCACAAAGTTTATGAAGAGTCAAATCTAAATTAAAAAAAAAAAACATTAAGAACTTTAAATGTAATCCTTACCTGGCAAATTTTTTCCCAGATCTCATCACAGCCAGCTTTTTCTTGAAAACTCAGAGCTAAATCATAATTTTCTGCTTCTGACCAAACAATCAAAGTGTCCTATTTTAAAATGGAATATTATATTTATTATTTGACTTTACTGCAAAATGTAATATACAGCTAGGTTTAGGTATCAAGGAGAGTAGCTTTCAACCAGTACAAAATATAAGAGAACATGGAAAGAAGAGGGGGACAAGAAAGACGATGCACCACTATATTTTTTCCTATGACTAGCCATACAACTTAAAAAAAAAAACATATTTTACGTAGGATAGATAACTCCTGATATACACACTGCCACTCATTTATTAAGAGCTTTAGTTCTTAGAAGCATCTTACTAGAAAGATGGCAAACAATATACTATGTTAATTTTTATCGAGACGTTCACTATTTAATTGCTATCATTTGGAATTTTAAAAAAATCATAGTGTGCAAAGTCAAATATACTTTGGGTACGTCAGGAGACAAAGAAGAAGTTTTCTTCACATTTCAATGATACTGCGTTGTGTTTTTAATCCATGTAAATACTACGGAGTAACAGAATGAAAGGGTATCCAAGTCCTACATCTGTCATATTCAACATTCTTTTTTCAGTTTGTAAACAACTGTTCATATATAATAAGTATGAATTCAACTTTGACGGAAGATAAAAAACAATCTTAAAAAGCAGTGGAAAACACTTCAGCAGATTATCCTTCAAGGATTCTTATTACTATAAAGGGGTTATAGTGAGGGGAATACACATACAGATAAAGGCAAATATAGGAAAATATAAATATGATATTCTGTGAAAGGAAATACAATCCATTCCAATATTCTATCAAAGGAAACCAAATAGACATTCATAACCAGGACAATGCCAAAATGAAACTGGAAGATGAACTCTCCAGATGAGAAAGTATCCAAGGAGCAACTAGAAAAGAGCACAAAGTTCTGAGTGGTATTTATGATGTGGTTGGATAAAAGTCAATAGGATCCTAGGTGTTGATGTGGCCAGAGGCAAAAGGAAAATTTAGCACAGTAAATATATGTATCCCACTGGCATGTGGAATGTCAAAACCATAAACCAGATGTTGCCACACCAGAAATATCTAGATACAATACTGACATTTTGGAAATCAGTGAACTGAACTAAACTGGATCACTTCATCTCAGAAGGACATCAGATCTTTTACTGAACATCGTAGAACAAATGGAGTAGTGAAAATTAACAAAAGATATCAAAATTAGTGTTTGGATATAACTCACAAAATGACCGGATGATCTCAATTTGAGTCCATGGCAAATCACCTGATATTGCAATGATCCAAATTTATGTTTCAAACAAGAGGTAGAGAAGAAATGGAAGGGTTCTTTGGTAATATGCAGCACTTTGCTAACATCAGACTAAAAAAGTGAGATGTCATAATATAGGAGGGTAGAATGCTAAATTAGAAATAAAATAACAACTGGAATAATGGGAAATAATGGCTTTGGCATACAAGATAAAGCAGGAGACAGACTATTAGGGAGCTGCCAAGAAAACCTTGTAACTTTAAGAAATTTCTTCTTTCAACAATCTAAAATATAGCTTTACACATGGGCACCACCTGATGAAAAAGAAAGCAAGTACAGCTGGAGAGGCTCAACTGATTCAGCAAAAACAAGACCTAATCTCACTCTCATATCCCAAATTACTTTTTGCAAGATTATAATTTAACCTAAAATAAAACTTAAAAGAATCAAACTCAAAAGATAAATCAATAATATTATATGTGATTATGCATAGAATTTGAGTTAAATTAGTGATAACTTTAAAGATGAAACAAATAAAAGTATCTCAAAATGCACTTTAGACATAATGAAAATAGCTGAAGAAAGATGGAAAGCAAAAGGCAACAAAAACACTGGAAATTTATGCAGCCTATGGAAGAATTCAAAATGATCAAGTCAGAACAGAATATTGGGAAAACAGCATGGCAAGGTTTATATTGTCACCTTGTTATTTAACTTACATGCAGAATGTAGCATTTCATTTTAAAGAGCGTATTCAGGATTGTGGAATTGTTAAATGTCAGCAAGATTCTCTTGCGAACTCTTTTACTAGAAAACCATGAATATAGCATTGCAAATGCCAGACTAGAAGAAATAGCAATTGAAATTAAAATTACTGGGAGAAATATGAACAACGTCATATATGCTGATGATGCTATTTTATGGCTATTAGGAAAGACTTAAAAGAATCTGTTGAAAGTGAAAAGCAGTTCAAAAATAATGCAGTTTAATATTAAAAATCAGGGATCATGTGAAAAGGTTATACCAACCAATGCATATAACTTAGAGAAATTGATATAGAACAGACTTTTACCTTTCTAGGCTCAAAAATTCACAGGAATAGAGCCTATGGTCAGGAAAAGAAAAAAAATCTACTTATTTATTGTAACATATTGGTTATCAGAAAGGTTGAACAAAAAAATGATGTATTTCAACTGTGGTGCTGAGGAAAACTCTTAAAAGTACCTGGTAGCTGAGGAAAAACAAATAGCAAATAATTCAGAATTAGATAAACTATATAAAATCAGATTACTTGGTGGAAACACTAATAATGAAGGTTTAGATATTTTGAACATATAATGTCGAAGTAAAAATCACTAAAGAAGGTCTGAAAATCAAAGGCAACTGAAAAAGAAGCTGACAGAAAAGAAGGTGGCTTGATGCTATCATTGATGACATAAGAACAAGGTCATCAGTATTCCAAGAAGCATTTACCGAGACAAAAATCCGAGCAAAATTGTGTCTATTGGAATACAAAGGGTCAAAAATGAAATTATCAACAATAAATTCAAACCATATAATTATGAACAGAAAGAAGCGAAAGGAGAGTAATCTCTGATGAGATGGGTGGCATATAAATGTAATAAATAATAATTGTTATAAATTTAATAAATTATGAAAAATTTAGGATAATTAAAATTGAAGCAACCCTATCCTCATATCTTAATAAGTATTTAACAAATTAGATATCTTTATTTATTTTATCCAAATAAAAGCATCACTAACAATATTAGTTATTTTCAAGTAACTGTACTGCTTTTACTACTTCAGAGAACATTTTAAAATTAAGATGTGTTTTTAAAGAGCAACAGAGAATATAAGTAATATTCAATGGCAAAAATTCAAAATTCATTTGGCAATCATTTTAATTCAACTGTTATACACCTAAAATGTAATAACTATTTAACTATAAATGTTTGATTAACTGAGTCAAAAACATATAATATTTTTCCAATATACTCCAAAACAAAAAAACCCAGTGTTAAAAACATTTCCTTAACTTTCTAGGAATATCATTATGTAAAAGTTACACCTGCCCTAAGGATAAAATTAGCTTTTATTTGTTGGGCTCTATCTTTCATCTCATTTGAGCATGATAGAAATTAGAAATTATAAAACCGAAAATATCTTATAACATACAGCAAAATTTTGCTACTATGAGAGCAATTCAGAAATAAACCTCCATTTGGTTGTCAATGACAGACACTTGCAGATATAGAACTTTTGTTATACACATTAGAAAACTACAACATTATATTACTTTTCAACATCATCGCCATTCAAATTGAGGCACTTGTCATAACATCTTACAAGGTTTGAAATTCCTTAGTAGTAGTTGCTCGGTGCCAAAACTGGGCTATGGGGGTGGTGGTGATCAAAAACATCTAATGGAACTGCTTCAAAAATACATCTAGCAGTATGTGGGCAAGCATTATTGGGAACCACCACATCGGAAGTAGTGCCATAAAAAATCCAGCCAAATGTGAGGATGCCAAAGGAGTACTGCAAGTGAAGTTCATGGTGTGTGGTTCGACCATCAATTCAGAAGTCTACTGTGAAACGTTATGAAAACTCAGATGAGCCATCCATAGCGTCGGTGCATGCTGACTTCCAGTATGGTGTTGGTTCACGATAATGCACGCCTGCACACCACTAGATGCACCCAAGAACTTTTGAAGCAGTTCCGTTGGGATGTTTTTAATCAACCCCCCCAACCCAGATTTGGCGCTGAATGACTACTACTAAGGAATTTCAAACCTCGTAGGACGTTATGACAAGTGCCTCAATTTGAATGGTGATTATGTCAAAAAATAATGTAATGTTGTAATTTTCTGTGTATAATAAAAGTTCTGTATCTGTGAGTGTCTGTCATTGATAACCAAAAGGAGATTTATTTCTGAATTTCCCTTGTAGATACAGTTTATAAATTCTTGGATGCATAATTTTCTGATTTGCATATATCTGGATATTCACTATATGCTCTTTTTCTTTTAGATCATAAAGATCTTTTCCAGATACTAATGCTAGTTTATCTCTTAATTTTTCACACTGAGGAACTGATGTAGTAAAAGTACCCTCTGATAATACTTGAGACATCTATTAAAAATATTTAATACCTTTAATGGCTAGGTTCACACATTGTTCCAAGCAACAATATGGTTTGCTGGTTTATATTTTATCATAATCTATGAACCCAGTTATAATTTATAAACCAAGATTTGTGGCCTAACTAAATGCATAAAGAGGCACTGTAATTTATTCACTTGTCATAATTTCAACCATGGTTTATGGGCTATATGAACTCAGCCAAAACATTCTAGATCAGTGGTTCTCAACCTGTGGGTCGGGACCCCATTTGGGGTCGAATGACCATTTCACGGGGGTCGCCAAACCACGCTGTCCGCCATTTTTTTCCCTTTTCCCTAGCTGTCCTATTCCCTCTTATTGGTGGCCACACCCACTTGGGGGTCACCACAACATGGGGAACTATACTATGGGGTCACGGCATTAGAAAGGTTGGGAACTATACTATGGGGTCACGGCATTAGAAAGGTTGAGAACCACTGTTCTAGATGAATTAGCATAAAAGTAAAAATAGTAAAGCAGTGACTGATTTGTCTGGTTTTGTACTTTGATGGGAGATCTCTACTAAAGGGATTGTAGGCTAGGCTGGGAAGTCAACAAAACATGCTGGAAAATGGTAACAGCAAACTACTTCTGTAATTCTGTGAAGAAAACTATCCAGATGTGCTCATGGAAGTCTTCACAGAATGAACTTGACTTGGAGACTCTACCATTTTATGGCATCTGTTAGAAATCTATTGCAATGGAAAGGGCATCATTAATGACTAGAATAAAGTAGCAATAATTTGAGATTTGCACAAACTGCAATTTACCAAGATGTATGCAAGTCATCACCTCATATTGTAATCTACTAGATACTTGGCAGTAAACTTTGAAGATTTATGAACATCCACATGGGTTGCAATAAATATCTGCATTCAGCATGGAGTAATATAATATAGGCTAAGAAATTACAAAATAAATAATAATTAATGTATTCATAAAAAACATCAAATAGTATTAAAGCTGGACAGAAAACAGAAAACTAATGGCAGATAATTCAGCAAAGGTTATTAAACCACGGTACTGCCCAATATACAACTCTATATGGCTCACAACAAACAAGAAATTATAATAAAATCAATAAAGCATAAAAATAAAAAGATGGCAAGTCTGAATGAGCAAGCGGCTTCACTTTCTCTCACCAAAGACCAGCAGTGGGGGCTATCTGAAACTTAGGGGTAGGGGGAGCCTTGTTTTAGAGGGCAAACACTGCTACAGAAGTGTGGTTCTAGCTCTCAAAACGTGAATGTAAAAGATAGTATTTTCATATATTAATCTCCAATATTTAATATACACATAGCCCTTGACTTGCCTTGAATCAGTATGTGGACAACTAAGAATATATAACAAAACTCTAGTTGACCATTCTGCACATTACTCCAATGGTTAACACAATTGCCAGATTTTTTTAAAAAATAGTATTTTCAATAATAGTAATATAGTTGAAATACAGAAGAAAAAATACATGCCTGTTGTTTTTGATATGCAGTGTTTGGATTTATCTTCGATTCCAACAAGAGGGAACCTGAAATGATGAAAAAATTCCACTAAGTACTTAAATAAGTAAATAAAGTCAGGCAACTTAAGTACTAATTATTCACATTAAGGACAATACTTTATTCCAAAACTTTTATGCAAACCCAGTGACCAAATCTGGGAATTTTAAGATAAAATTTCAGTATGCCTTACTCAAGCTGTGCACAATTCATTTATGAAAAAATATTATAGTCTTATTTTCCTTTGGTAACTAACATACACTATTACATATTTACAAAGCCAAATTATGTAATCCTGAATTTATTATATAGTATGTCTAAGCAATCATGTTTCATGGCAACAGCTCTCAAGCAATCACTTTCAAGTTCACAAGATTTATTTAGTACATTAGCACCTGTTCATTAACAACATCAATACATTTTCTTCTTCTAAAAACAGCTTTTCTAATTTTGAAAACAACCTATCATGGCTTTACCATAAAAATACTAAAATAGAAAAAAGGCCTTCCATCGGAACATAAAATTTGATATAAATGTTTATTTTTCTTCTTTTCACCACCAAGTACTGCCAAATTAATGACTAGAGACAATTTTGAATATTTTGCTTTCTCCAAGTATAGTTTTAGGTTACTTCCACTGAAATATTATGGTATGTCCTTAATTCAGACACACTGAAAACCAGTTAAGACAATAATTTGGGTAAAAGTTTAAAATTTAAGAATTTTAAGCACCCAACATTCTAAATAGAAAATATAGTAACACAAAGAACATTTTTTTTCAAGAAGAAAAAGTCTTTTCATTGAGGCAGCTTCAGAGAAAACCAACCCAGAGTGAAAAGCTGATAGTATTTGAAAGTATAAATCAGTACTATGAAAGGCCTTTAAAAAAATCATTAGCCAGTTCATTTTCAATAAGTAACAATTAGCAGAGTTTACCGTCATGAAAGTTATGAAAGTTTTCTAAAAGTTAATGTTTCCCACTCCTCATAATACATTTAATATCTTTTTCCCAAAGTCGCCCAATTAACACTGACAGGGGAGTTACTAATAACTTTTATAAAGCGGTCAGTACGGTTCCCTAACTATAACATGCATGAATTTAGGGGACTATCAAGAAGGTGCTTACGGTTTAGGGGTGGAAGCCTATAACATTTGTGGTGAGGGGGTCCAATAACCTGACCCTACGGTTTGTCTAAATATAAAAGAGAGACTATATATGCGGGAAGGAATCCGTGGCCTCAGCCCAGGTTGTGTGAGGTGGCGGTGGCAGAACGCTCCCATGGGTTGTTTCCCATTCCTCTGGGTAGGCTCTATTGTCCCAGAGAGATTAGCAGCTGCCTCCATCCCCTGCCTGCCATTATCCTTCCCCTTTCTCACCGTCCGACTCGGCTCGAACGAGCAGCGACATCCCTTTGAGCCGCTCCACGTATGTGGACGAGACATGCCCGGTGCCTCTGTCGTCCCATTGCCGCTCTTCGTTGAGCGTGTAGACCTTCACCCGCCGCCGGGTATCCGACATGGTGGGGCCCCGGCCCGATCGTGAGGCACGGGAAAGGACCGGCCGGGGGCTGAGAGCGTCACTCAGGAAGCCTTTAACTCGCCGCTTTTCATGACAGTCAGGTCGGAGCCGCCGCTCCTCTGGCTCAGCAGTACCAACTAGCAGCAGCAGCCACTAACACCGCGGCATAGCCGCCATCTTGTAATCCGACTCCTGTCCCGTCCCTGCCTTTCTCTTCCTCTCCCAGCCGGGGGAGGGAGAGGGACGGAAGGCCTGCACGGGCTCCACTAGCAGGGGCTATGGCGGCCGGGAAGGGAAGGAAAAGAAAAGGCTGTCAGTTTGCGAAGGAGGAAGGGGTTGAGAATACGTTGCGCCTGCGTGTTGCATACTTTCCTGCTGGACGCGGAAAAGCTGTGTTGCCCTGGCTTTTTTCTGCAGTAATAGTACCTGTAGCCACAGTTTCTTGGAATGATTGTCGCCTCTAACACAGGAGGCGTCTCTGAAGGACTGTCTCCAAGATTCCCAGCAGTTCTCTCCTTTATTTTATTAAATTAGTCTGAGTTTCTTTGCTACTGGCGTTGTAGCGTTTGAGAGGAAAGACCTATTCTCCTCGTTGCAAAGGCGCTGAAGAAGATGAGATGGGACGATACTATACTCCTAAGAACGTAGAGAGAAAATCAGCCCGCCCCTCCCGCTCGCTCATCAGCCGTAATACTGTATTTTTTTCATCAAAAAGATTCTAGAGCTATTTTATCCAAGACATAAGTGCCTAACTTTCCCCTTCAAATGCCTTTAGAAAACATGCTACTTGATACATCTGTAGCACAGCGAAGACTTCAGAGATGGACAAACTAAATAGGGCGGTCTAAAGATGTTAGCTTCAATTTTTGGAGATGGAGCCACCTTCAAATGCATACTGACTTGCTAAGGATTTTAGTTTCTATTAATTCATAAATGATGATCTACAGTTTTTTTAAATCCTGCATGGTTTAATACAGCTGTATGTTAAAGTCATGATGGATAAAATTAAGAGCAAGCAATAAGAAACAGGCCTAGAAAGATGCCATGACAACGGTATCAAATAACAGAGTAACAGAGTTGGGAGGGACTTTGGAGATCTGCTCAAGCAGGAAATCCTGTAACATTTCAGACAATCCAATCTTTTCTTAAAACCACCAGTGTTAGAGCACCCACAACTTCTGGAGGCAAGTTGTTCCACTGTTAGGAAATTTCTTAGTTCTTGGTTGGTTCTCTTTGATTTGATTTCATCCATTGCTTCTTGCTTTGGATGACCCCCCCCTTCTTTGTGACAGGTCCTTAGATATTGGAACACTGCTATCATGTCATCCCTAATCCTTTTCATTAAACTAGACCAGTGGTTCTCAACCTGTGGGTTGGGACTCCATTTGGGGTCGAACGACCATTTCACGGTCACCAAACAATGCAGTCCGCCATTTTTTCCCCCTTTTCTTTGGCTGTGCTACTCCCTTTTATTCTATTGCAGTGGTTCTCAACCTTTTTAATGCCGCAACCCCAACCAGTCGTAGGTCGAGGACTTTCCCTGCCCGGGAGCGCCGCACATGCGTGGTGCTGCTCCCGCGCCGAGGCGTGGCTGGCAAGCGGCAGAAATGGTGCAGGCTGACCACAGGCTGGGCCATCAGCTGGCCCAGCCCAAGGGAGGTAAGGCACCCGCTGGTCCCCACGCGCGCCAGCAACCCTCCCTGCGCCCGCTGGGCTCCCACCTGCCACCCCTGGCCCTCTTTTACTTACATTTTTAGTAGTTGCTCAGCAGGGAGGGGTGGAAACTTCCAGACAGCTCGCCTTTGCTGCAGACAACTTGCAGCACCGTTTGCAGAATGGGACTTTTGGCGGGCTCAGCAGGGCAGAGACAGCCTGGACAATTCCTGTTGGCTTTTGAAAGCCAATAGAATTAGGCTCTATTCAAGAGAGTCTATTCTATTGGCTTTCAATAGCCAATAGAACAGTGGTTCTCAACCTGTGGGTCGGGACCCCATTTGGGGTCGAATGACCATTTCACGGGGGTTGCCAAACAATGCAGTCCGCCATTTCCCCCCCTTTTCCTTAGCTGTGTTACTCCCTTTTATTCTATTGGCTTTTGAAAGCCAATAGAATAGACTCTCTTGAATAGAGTCTAATTCTATTGGCTTTCAAAAGCCAATAGGAATTGTCCAGGCTGTCTCTGCCCTGCTGAGCCCGCCAAAAGTCCCATTCTGCAAACGGTGCTGCAAGTTGTCTGCGGTGAAGGCGAGCTGTCTGGAAGTTTCTACCCCTCCCTGCTGAGCAACTACTAAAAATGTAAGTAAAAGAGGGCCAGGGGTGGGAGGCCGGCGGGTGCAGGGAGGGTTGCTGGTGTGCGTGGGGCCCGGCGGGTGCCTTACCTCCCTTGGGCTGGGCCAGCTGATGGCCCAGCTGGTGGTCGGCCTGTGCCGTCTCTGCCGCTTGCCAGCTACGCCTCGGCCGGCACAGGGGGCGGCACCACGCATGTGCGGGGCTCCCGGGCAGGGAAAGTCCTCGACTTACAACCGGTTGGATAGTCCTCGACTTACGACCAGTTGGGCTCGTGGCATTAAAAAGGTTGAGAACCATTGCTCTAGCTATTAAGTGTCACAGAACTTAAATTCTTCAGTAAACCAAAATTTTGAATTATGTCCAGAATATCATCATGGCAACACCACCAAGTCCCAGTCATAAGCCAAGCAAAGCCTGTTATTACGAGAAACTCATAAATCCCACTGTGGATCAGAGAAGGGTAAATATAGCCCTTCATGTAATCAGCAAATAGACATTCAGTCTATACTTCATGTTTTAAAGTGTAGAAAGTTTCTACAAATGATGCATATAATTGTTTTTGAAAAGTTAGCACAAAGGCTTTCAGAGAATGTAGAGATATTTTAAAAAATCCATAAGTATCTCAGCCTCTGAGACACTCAAGATACTAGAAATTATCAAATCCTTTAAAACTAAAAAGCCTATTAGTTTTATAGATATTTGTTATCAATAAATCAATCTGAAATGCAGACAACAAAGAATATTATTTAGAATGTATTTGATTCCAATATCTTCATACAGAAAAAGACTGTCAAAAACAGCATTTTGTTGGATATGTAATAGGAATGGGTTTTTTAAAAAAATGTTTCTATAGTTAATTTTGGGAGAAAATATTACATTATTAAGCAATAAAAGCTAAAGTTTTTAGAGTATAATATTCTTCTAAATTATATACTTAATACATGGAATTTGACAATCAGACAGTGTAAATGGATTCTGTATCCTTATGACTAAAAAGCTGATATTGCAGCATTGGAAAGATAAAATTATGGCTCCATTTACTGAATAGATTGAAGACCTGATTGCCCTTGCTATTTATGAGCAGATTGCCTATAGACGTAGATTTTGTATAGGCGAGTATAATGAAATATGGGCATCATTTATATAAAATATAGATTAAAAAAGAGTTGTATAAATACATTAGAAAAATATACATATTTGAACATTTGCGTTCAATAAGTATATATAGAAGTGTAACTATTCTTTATATTTTTCTTTGTATTTTTCACTTGTTTTTTTCTTGACAATTTTTAATTAAAAAATAAATAGAAAATCCATAAGAATGTCAACAAATTTACGTATCTTTAATAGCTTAAAGTAGCAAGATAAAAGGTCTGTATATTCATGTTACATTTATATTCCTTCAACCCTTCATTAATGAAATATTACATATAACTGAAAATCTTATGTACAAATTAGATTTTTTTTGTATTCTTTTTTATGTTTATACCTCATTCTTTTTTATGTTTATACTGAATGATTATGTTGAGATAACCCAGAGTTCTTACTTGGCATAAATGACAAGGCTCAAATTATCCTGCTTCAGACACACCATGCAAAGGCTGAGCTCTCTGAAAAGGCTTTAATGTTGGGAAAAATAGTAGGAAAAGAGAAGAGGATGATCATTTTAGGAACAGATTGTGATGGAGAATATCTATCTATGTAGTAGATAGCAGTTGAAAATGACTTGATGGCAAAATAATATCAAATGACTTTTCTTGCTATGTAGAACCAAAGATAAATTATATAGAATGAAGATATTTTCCATTTTAAAAAGTATTTGTAGATTCTATAATTCTACAAAAGAGTATTTATTGTCAATAAAGGCTGCTAACTGCTTTTATTTGCTTCTCAAGATTCAGTTTGAGATAACGTACTTCCCTGGGAAAAGCAAAAGTTCAAAAATGTGTTACTGGCAGGTGTTGCATTTTTATTTCTTCATGTTCTGAAGCATCTTCTTCAACATGATTTTTTTTCCATTAAAATTCTTTCTAGGAACATGTATTACATAAATGTAATAATACAGATTTCTACAAATATCAGGAAACAGTTTATGTATGTGACATGTCTTATTAGCACTTGAAATAAGGTTTTAAATAGTATTTGAGTGATAATTGTATACTTCTGGAAACATTCTATTCATCTGAAAATATCTGTCAGCTTTTATACAACGTACAAAGGTGCTATGAATTCTTAATTTTTGAAAAGAACTTTAAAGGCATTAAAACAAGGAAAAATTAGCTGGTATTAAATTATATTTTTATGAAATTTAAAATGTACATGGGCATATAGAAACCTGTATATATTACCAGTAATTTCTCAGTTTCTATCAAAGGGAACAGTTCTACTAGTTCAGAAGGATTCTTGTGCTATGCTGAATTGGCAGACTCATGAACTGCACTTCCTATTACTATACTTTTTTTGTCATTCAGTGTTTTAACAATAGATGTAGCTGGACTCTGAAGTACTTTTCGTGAAAGCCTCATTCTTCCATCAGTTGGATCACGTCCAAAGTATTTCACCTGTTCATAGAAGGAAATGAGATTGAACTCTGGATGCATCAAGATTTATGTAGTTTAATTTTTTTTAGTGGAAAAAAAATGACTGTTATTTTTTAGAATTAATGATATATAGAATTCTAAATTTAAAGTTAAAGTATTAATGTAATGTCTTTAAAATCTTTTAAATAAATAAATAATGAGAGAACAATTAGAAATTATTTAATGTCTCAGTGCAAGTAATACTTTCCCCTCTTTTCACATTATAGTCATTTATCCACAAAGATTCCCCACTGGCATATTGAGGTATTAAATTTGTGAAACCAGATCTTCCTAAATATAGCACAATGGCTACATCAAAGTCTTGATCATATTCTGTTAATTTTACTATCAAGATTGAGTATGATAACAATATATTGCCACTTAAAAGAGTTTCTTATTATACCCCACATTTTTACTCTGATGAATGCTTAAAGCAGCTAA